TTGATCTCTTCAGCTTCTGTTAGGTCCCTGCCATCTTTGTTTCTTATCATACCAATTTTTGCCTGAAATTTACCTCCAATGTTTCTAATTTTCTGGAAGAGGTCTCTTGTCCTTCCTATTCTGTTGTCTTCTTCCACTTCCATGCATTGCTTATTTAAAAATAGTTCCTTATCTCTTCTGGCTAACCTCTGGAATTGCGCATTTAACTGGGCATATCTCCCTTTTTCACTGTTTCCTTTTGCTTTCCTCCTTTCTTGGGCTACTTCCAGTGTCTCAGCAGACAACCATTTTGCCTTCTTGGTTTTCTTTTTCTTTGGAACGTACTTTGTTGCCGCCTCCTGAACAATGTCGCGGACTTCTGTCCATAGTTCTTCTGGGACTCTGTTTACTAAATCTAGTCCTTCAAATCTGTTCTTCACTTCCACTGTATATTCGCTAGGAATGTTAGTGAGATCATATCTAACTTGTCTGTGTATTTTCCCTGATCTCTTTAGTTTTATTCTAAATTGGGCAATAAGAAGTTTGTGATCTGAGCTACAGTCAGCCCCAGGTCTTGTTTTCACCGACTGGATGGATGTCCGCCACCTTTGGCTGCAAAGGATGTAGTCAATCTGATTTCGGTGTTGACCATCTGGTGAGGTCCACGTATAAAGCCGTCTTTTAGGTTGTTGGAAGAGAGTATTCGTTATACACAGCGAGTTTTCCTGGCAAAATTCTATCAGCCTGCGTCCCGCTTCATTTTGTTCTCCCAGACCATGCTTGCCTGTGATCCCAGTTGTCATTTGACTTCCCATCTTGGCGTTCCAGTCTCCTGTAATGAAAATAATGTCTCTTTTTGGTGTATTATCCAGTAGGTCCTGCAGATCCTCATAGAACTGATCTACTTCTGCTTCTTCAGCAGCTGTGGTTGGGGCGTATATTTGGATCACTGTAATGTTGAAAGGCTTTCCTTGCACTCGAATTGAGATCATTCTGTCATTTTTTGGGTTGTATCCAAGCACCGCTTTAGCTAATTTCTCATTAATTATGAAGGCTACTCCATTTCTTCGATGTTCCTCTTGTCCGCAGTAGTAGATCTGGTGGTCATCTGATGTGAAGTGGCCCATTCCAGTCCATTTCAGTTCGCTGACCCCCAGAATGTCTATCTTTAGTCCTGACATCTCACCAATAACAACATCCAATTTGCCCTGGCTCATAGATCTTACATTCCAGGTTCCTATGGTGTGTTGATCTTTAGAGCATCGGATTCGTCGTTCACCTCCAGTACCGTCGGCCGCTAGCCTTCCTTTCGGCTTTGAGCTAGCTGCGTCATCACATCTGGGGCTAGTTGAACTTATCCTCTGCTCCTCCCCAGTAGCATTTTGGCCATCTTCCGACCTGGGAGTCCCATCTTTCAATGGCATACCGACATATCTCTGGTTGTACTGGTCCATTTAGTTTTCTTGGCAAGGATACTGGAGTGGTTTGCCATTGCCTTCCCCAGGGATCACGCTTGGTCTGACCTCTCTGCCACAACCGTCCCGTCTTGGGTGGCCCTTCACGGTTTCGCTCATGACATCATTGAGGTGCTCAAGCTCCAGCGCCCCGACAAGGCGGTGATCCTTTGCTGGAGTCAGGAGGGTGGGGGCTGATCTAATATCCCTAGGCAGGGAATTCCACAGCCGAGGGGCTGCTACAGAGAAGGCCCTGTCTCTCATCCCTGCCAGATGTGCTTGCGAAGCAGGCAGCATTGAGAGCAGGGCTTCCTCCAATGATCTCAAGTTCCTGGTGGGTTCGTAGGAAGAGATGCGTTTGGATAGATAAGCTGGGCCGGAACCGTTTACGGCTTTATAGGCTAAAGCCAGCACTTTGAATTGTGCCCGGTAGCAAACTGGCAGCCAGTGGAGCTGATGCAACAGAGTTGTGTGCTCCCTGAGCACCGCTCCTGTTAGCAATATATAGCACTTTATATAGCACTCTGGAGCATGTTCAGAGCACTTCAGATATTTCACATCTAAATCATCTTTACCACACTTTGTCATGTATATCAGTGTGACTACCCCATTTACACACTGGTGGATAGTTTGCTTAGAGCATGTGGAGTTGAGAGTAGGGTTTGGATGGTCCCGTTCTCACTCTGTTAAATCGCAGTAATAACATAAACTGAATAATAATATACAGTAATAATAATAACTTTATTTTTATACCCTGCCTCCATTTCCCCGAAGGGACTTGGGGCGGCTTACATGGGGTCAAGCCCAGTCAACAGTTAAAACATAACATGTACAAAATACAGTCATCAGTATAAAAACAAACTAAGCAACATTATAACAACAATAAAACAAGAATCAGAATCAACAACCAATAGTATAATTCAATTGATACTATTATAATATAATACAATATAATACTACTACTAATAAAATGATATTATAATTATATATTTTATATTAAATGTAATATTACTAATAATATTACAGTATAATGTTATAGTACAATGTAATATATAATATTAATATTGTGCTATGATAATAATATAATATATTGCATTTACTTTTTACTAGCAAGCCGCTCTGAGTCCCCTTCGGGGTGAGAAGGGTGGCATATAAATGTCGTAAATCAATCAATAAATAAGTCTCACTGTAGGATGGCGGACTGATGCACAACAATTTAAAAGGTAGGTCTAATGAGTAAAGTGCTAGATCATATAGCAGCAAAAGGATAAGAGCAATTTAAACTGGGTAATTAAGACTTTGGATAAACAGTAGTAAAGTGAAAGGACAAGATTTTAGGCCATAGTTAGGGCCAGCTGTCCAGGGAATTGTCTAATCAAATGCACAACAGAACATCCACATCTTTAGTTCTTTACGAGACATGGATAGGGAGGGTGCTAGCATGTCTCACTGGGGAAGGAGTTCCAGAGCTGGGGTGCCACAATCGAAAAGGCCCTTTCTCTTGTCCCCACCAACTATGCCTGAGGCAGGGGTGGAAGCGAGAGGAGAGCCTCCCCAGAAAATCTTAGGGAAACATGTAGTCATGAAGATAGGCAGGTCCCAAATCATTTAGGGCTTGATAGGTAGTAACCTGCACCTTGAATTGGGACTGGAAATTTATCGGCAGCCAGTGGAGTGATGAGTGATGGTCACTCCTTGTGTTGTGAGATGTTTTGTTGCCAAATTTGGTGTGATTTCGTTCATTGGTTCTTTTGTTTTTAAGGTACTCATTATGCACAGAGCATATATATATATGGACTAGTAAAAGATGATGGTGTAAGAGTGTCCCTTACATAAAATGGCAAAATCACTGACGTCAGCTGACTATACTTCTCAGAGAAAGATCATCCACAGGCTTAAGAACTGGGACCCTTCTTGGCACTCCCTTGACCGCGGGTTTTCAGGTCTTTTGGGATCTTGGGGTTTCAACAACATTAGGACACAGCCTCCCTTTATGAACTTGTGCCCAGACTCAACTACTAATAATCCCCGACTTTACCTGAGTGCCTAAACCACCATGACTCTGCTGGTTTTTTTAACAGAGCACTCATTTATTAAATAACATTTAATGGCTATACAGAACTTTCACTCCTTGTGTTGTGAAATGTTTTGTTGCCAAATTTGGTGTGATTTCATTCATTGGTTCTTTTGTTTTTAACGTACTCATTATGCACAGAGCATTTTTATATATAGAATAGTTGAAAGAATAGCATTGGCTGTTTTAGTTGCCCGCATCACACTGTTGACTCATGTTCATCTTTAGTACCACTTCAAATGAGTTCTGCCTTTCGGTGATGCACTCACATAGAAATTGCACAAAGCAATCCTCAAAAGTAAGGCAGCTTTCTAACCCATGTTTCTTACTTCAGTTGTTTTCATGTTGTGTGCCTTCAAGTCATTTCTGACCTTGGATGACCCAGAGGCAAACTTTTATGTCAGGAGCAACTTGAGAAACTGCAGGTCGCTTCTGCTGTGAGAGATTTGGCTGTCTGCAAGGACCTTGCCCAGGGGATGCCTGGATGTTTTACCATCCTGTGGGAGGCTTCTCTCATGTCCCCGCATGAGAAGTTGGAGCTTGCCCCATTCCCTGGATTTGAACCGCTGATCTTTTGTCAACAGCCCTGTCAGGAGTTCCCGGTGGCGCAGTGGGTTAAACCCCTGTGCTGGCAGGACTGAAGACCGACAGGTCGCAGGTTCGAATCCGGGGAGAGGCGGATGAGCTCCCTCTATTAGCTCCAGCTCCTCATGCAGGGACATGAGAGAAGCCTCCCACAAGGATGATAAAAACATCAAATCATCCAGGCGTCCCCTGTGCAACGTCCTTGCAGACGGCCAATTCTCTCATACCAGAAGCAACTTGCAGTTTCTCAAGTCGCTCCTGACACAATAAAAAAAGCAGCCCTGTTGGCACAAGGGTTTAATGCATTGCGTCACCGGGGGCTCCTAGAGGCAGACATATCACAGGTGTTTCTAGGCAAGATTCAAAAGGTTTGTTTTTACCTTTCTTTGAGACGGAGAGAGTGTATCTTTGGTCATCCAGCAGGATTCCATGGCTGAGCAGAGATTTGAACTCTGGTCTCCAGAGTTGCAGTCCAGTGTTCCAACTGGCTTTGTCTACTTAAGTATGGGGCGGTGTAACCAATTCAGGGAGAAATAACTCTTCTTTTTCTCACGTATTTTTTATCTTTGTGTCGCTTTGACAAAACCGAAGCATCCCAGCCAGGCCTTGGAGCACAATGAATTCGTTGGGAACTTTCCTCTTCTTCTCATTTTTGGATTTGTTTTTTTTAATTATTCCTCATCAAAAATATTTCCAGCAGGGAGTGATGTGTAATTCCGATATCTATGCAATTTGACATTTTTCTACCTTTGCTGAACAGTCAATGAAGTGCACCACAGACCGAAATATCCAGGGTGGGTTGGGTGTGGGGACTACGGTTATCTATATTGCTGCCTAACAAGATATTCAGTGTTATCACTAGATTTAAAAACCAGTCGAACACAGTTGTTGTCATTCCATTCTTATAGGCTGGGGACTCCGAGACAAAGTGACTCGTCCAAGGCCACCAAAACATCTGAAGCAGAGCTAAGACTTGAACCTGTATATCTGGGGGCCAAATGCAAGCAACTACACTCCTGCTTCACCAACAAGAGGTAGGGTTATGTTTTCCCCTTTTTCTGGTATAGGAGCTTGGTGATGTCGATAGCGTATATATATATTTTTTAACCCCCTGCCCGTTTCCATAGATATTGGAGTCTTGTTGCTCTTAGACTGGGCAACTGTGTGGCCAAGCAATGTCAGAGTATGCTCAAGACACCCAAACTTATAGAATCATAGAGTTGGAAGAGACCTCATGGGCCATCCAGTCCAACCCCCTGCCAAGAAGCAGGAATATTGCATTCAAAGTACCCCTGACAGATGGCCATCGAGCCTCTGTTTAAAAGCTTCCAAAGAGGGAGCCTCCACCACACTCCGGGGCAGAGAGTTCCAATGCTGAATGGCTCTCACAGTCAGGAAGTTCTTCCTCATGTTCAGCTGGAATCTCCTTTCTTGTAGTTTGAAGCCATTGGTCCACGTCCTAGTCTCCAGGGAAGCAGAAAACAAGCTTGCTCCCTCCTCCCTGTGACTTTCTCTCACATATTTATACATGACTATCATATCTCCTCTCAGCCTTCTCTTCTTGAGGCTAAACATGCCCAGCTTTTTAAGCCGCTCCTCATAGGGCTTGTTCTGCAGACCCTTGATCATTTTAGTCACCCTCCTCTGGACACATTCCAGCTTGTCAATATCTCTCTTGAATTGTGGTGCCCAGAATTGGACACAATATTCCAATATTCCACAATATTATTAATGTGAACACACTTATAAACTACAACAGTTTGTTTTTTCCTGTGTTTACTGGGAAAGACAAGACTCTGTTCCCTTCCTCACTGCTCAGAGCCCTTCCACACAGCCATACAACCCAGAATAAGAAAGCAGATAATCCCACAATATATGCTTTGAACTCGGTAATCTGTGTCCGCACTGCCATATAAAAAGGTAAAGGTAGTCCCCTGACATTAAATCCAGTCATGTCTGACTCTGGGGTGTGGTACTCATCTCCATTTCTAAGCCGAAGAGCCAGCGTTGTCTGTAGACACCTCCAAGGTCATGTGGCCGGCATGACTGCATGGAGCGCCGTATATTCTAGTTCAAATCAGAAAATGTGGGATTTTATTCAGCTGTGTGGAAGGGGCATCAGTTAGATGAGTGCAAACTACTCAGTTTGCAGCAACAGAAGTAAGCTGAGGATAGAGGAGGAAAGAGAGACATTTTTAAAAATAGGTGAAAAATTGGGAGGTCAAGAATTAATCCAGGCCTTTCCACACAGCCCTATATCCGAGAATATCAAAGCAGAAAATACCACAATATCTGCTTTGAACTAGGTTATCGGAGTCTACACTCAAATATTGTGGGATCTTCATGTTTTTTTAAAATTCGTGGTTTTTTTTAAAAAAAAACTGTAGATGATTTTTAAGAATTTATTGTATTTTAGATGTCAAAATTATGAGCCAGAATCCCATTGGTGGTATGCAGAAGTATAATCATTTGAGGGTGCTGGAAAGTAGGAAAGCAAAACTCTTCCTTTTGTATGGCTACAAAACTGAAACTAGAGGCATCTGGGAGTTTTGGGCCCCTTGGCTCGCTGGGGTTTGTGTTTAGGGCCCAAATTACCTGTCCGAACGCATCTCTCCCTATGAACCATCGTGGAGATTAAGATCTGGGGGGACCCTGCTTTCCATCCCGCCATTGTCACAGGCACGATTGGTGGGGACAAGGAACAGGGCCTTCTCGGTGATTGCTCCCCGGCTATGAAACTCCCTTCCTGGTGAGATCAGGTCGGCCCCCTCCCTCCTGTCCTTTAAAGGATGGTAAAAACTTGGCTGTGGGACCAAGCATTCGGGACAGGGCAATAAAATAGCAGCAATAGGAAAGATGACCAGGCCAATTAGATTTGACGTGGATGACTAGGGCGGTTTTAAATGGTGTATTTTAATATTTTGATAAATGTTTTTAATGTTTGTGTATGTATATAAGAATTTGTGTCCCGGCATTGAATGTTTGCCGTATATATGCTGTGCTCCGCCCTGAGTCCCCTTCGGGGTGAGAAGGACAGAATATAAATGTTTTAAATAAATAAATTGGCTGCCAATTGGCATCAGCAGCAAAAGGTAAAATCGAACAGAAATATGACAGACATTATTTTATGCCTGGGTAGCACTAACAATCCTTGCAATTTTGTATTTACATGTACTTGTCTGCATTTTAATTTTGCTGTGAGCTGCCTTGAATCTATTCTATATGAAAAAAGGGATATAAATCAAAAGAGTAAAATATCCGTGTCATTTCTACACACTCAGTACAGTTGGTAACCAGACATTTGCTGTCACCATTACATTATTGCAGGACTTCATCTACTTTGGACTAGGTCAAGACATTTGGAGTCTGCTGAAGAGCAAAAGGGGGGCTACTATAGCCTGAAATACATACTCTAGGAGTGAAGGAAGATTTCTGCTTCCCCGGCCCTTCTTGTGGCTGGGAGGCGGGCAATGGCACGCTCGGGACAGCTTGCATTCCTTCTGACAGTATCTCTTCAGTCTTTCTTACAACCTGCATTGGCTCAAGGTAGGTATTCTTTGCACCACCATGTATAATGTCTCTTTAAAATACACTATATATATTCAAGTACAGTAGAGTCTCGCTTATCTAACCATCACTCATCCAATTTTCTGTATTATCCAACACAGTCTGCCTCCCACCCATAATAATATCCAGGGTGGGAGAAAGAAAGAACCGTTGTCTGTTTTGGTGCTAAATTTGTAAATACAGTAATTAATACATAACACTACTGTGTACTGCCCCCCCCCCCCCGGTGGCGCAGTAGGTTAAAGCACTGAGCTGCTGAGCTTGTTGACCAAAAGGTCGCAGGTTCGATTCCAAGGAGCGGCATGAGCTTCCGCTGTCAGCCCTAGCTTCTGCCAACCTAGCAGTTCGAAAACATGCAAATGTGAGTAGATCAATAGGTACTGCTCTGGCGGGAAGGTAACGGCGCTCCATGCGGTCATGCTGGCCACATGACCTAGGAGGTGTCTATGGACAATGCTGGCTCTTCGGCTTAGAAATGGGGATGAGCACCAGACCCCAGAGACAGACATGACTGGACTTAATGTCAGGGGACAACCTTTACCTTTACCTACTGTGTATTGAACTGCTTTTTCTGTCGATTGGTTATAAAATGTGATGTTTTGGTGCTTAATTTGTAAAATCATAACATAATTTGATGTTTAATAGGATTTTCCTAAATCCCTCCTTATTATCGAACATTTTCACTTATCCAACGTTCTGCCAGCCTGTTTATGTTGGATAAGCGAGACTACTGTATAAGTTTAGGAATTTTAATCAGAAAACTGACCCCAAAAAACTGGGTTGACTTATCCACAAGTCAGTGTATTTACTGTTTCTTAATTATTAACCAAAAGAAATATCTTGGGTTTGTGAAGATAAAATAGTGAGGAGAAAAAAACTTGCAACTGAAATTTTATTGCGGTCTTGGGGTTACAGCAGTGGTTCCCAACCCCCCTCCCCATTTTTTTTAACCAGGGACCACGGTCCAACAGTAGTACCAAAAGTGTTACGGATCAGTTTTTGGTCAACTTTAGATTTGGTTTGGTTATTTGGGGTGCTGATTCAGAAAATTATATTGGATAAACCACATCAGGTCTAGTTTCTGATACAGAACATATGCCATCTAGTAGTCACCACAGAAAACCATATTTAACAAGTCTTGGCACTACAAGAGGGTTTTGCGAGACCAGTCGCTCTTGTTACAATGATATATTAACAGTGAGGTCACGGGCCATATTTTAGTTCTTGTGGACCACTGATTGGGAGGAGCCCCCGGTGGCGCAGTGGGTTAAACCCTTGTGTTAAAAAAATTGCTCCTGACATGATAAATAAATAGTACCAGTATTAAAAAAATCTCTAAAATTACTACAGCAAAACAGCAGAGAGGAAACAACCAGGCACATCTTAACACCTCTCAACAGGGGATTTTCCCAGGCTCAGCCAGGCCTTCAAATGCTAATGAAGGTGGTCAGTTGAAACATTCACACCTAGCTCCAGCAGAGAAGAGCTCTTTGCCCCACCCCAGCCATTCCACAGATATATAAACCCATTGTCCTAATTCCAACAGACCTCACTACCTCTGAGGATGCTTGCCATAGATGCAGGCGAAACGTCAGGAGAGAATGCCTCTAGAACATGGCCCTATAGCCCGAAAAAACCCACAAGAACCTAGTGATTCCAGCCATGAAAGCCTTCAACAAAATATAAACTTGTTAGTATTTCAATGGGAAGTGTGGGCCTGCTTTTGGCTGAGGAGATAGGATTGTTGTTGTTGTTGTTGTTGTTTGTTGTGTGCTTTCAAGTCATTTCAGACTTAAGCCAACCCTGAGTGAGGGCCAGGTAAATGACCTTGGAGGGCCACATCCGGCCCCTAGGCCTTAGTTTGGGGACCCTGGTCTAAATTGTAGGAAAGCACAGCTGGTGAGTTGGGGCATTAATCTGAGTTTCTTGTTCTGGATAGCAGTCCCAGATGACCACATTTCTCACTGCAGGGCATGCTTTAAGATTAGAGAACTGCAGTTGTGAAAAAACTAAGAGGTTCAAGATGCTTATCAGCCCTAGGTGTAGTTTCAGGGAAGATCATTGTGAAACAGAACTGAACTCCTTTACCTAAGGAATGTGCCAAAGGCTCTGTGGCTTTTCTTGGAGTGTTCCTTCCCTCCAACTAGACCTCGCCTGGGAGCAAAAAACACTTTCTGGGTGTGGATCAGGCTCCTTTTGTCCAAGGTGTGGGCTTTGGATGACTCACTGGTGCCATCTCCACTGTAGCCAGTGTGAGTTTTTGAAACAAGAGGGAAGGCGGAGGGAACCTGGTTGCTCCTCCGCCTTGTGTTACCCTCTCATGGTGTTTGGAACAGTGCCCAGCCTGAGACGGAAACTGAATGCCCGAGAGTGGCAAGAGCCACACCTACCCCAGGAGGGGTTGAAAGTAATGGGGTTTAGTTCCGCTTCTCCGTGAATGAACAGGAACAACAACCAAAAAAGAGAGAGAGATAAGATTGGGAAATTCAGGCCTCAGGTGCCCAAACCTCACCTCTGCCCAGCACCATTCTAGGTAGTGTGGAGCAAGGAGCCTGTGGGCTAATTTTCTCTCTGTGTGTGCCTGCTCTCCTAAATGTGGCTGCTGTGGCAAGCATCTGTTTACAAAAAATATGTCATGTATATAATGCACGATAGAGCCACCAGGACTCTTGAGTGTATTATTCAGGGCTGGGAAATGAGTTTTTTTTTTTGTCGTGTCAGGAGTGACTCCTGGTGTGAGAGAATTGGCCGTCTGCAAGGACGTTGCCCAGGGGACGCCTGGATGATTTGATGTTTTTATCATCCTTGTGGGAGGCTTCTCTCATGTCCCCGCATGAGGAGCTGGAGCTGATAGAGGGAGCTCATCCACCTCTCCCCGGATTCGAACCTGTGACCTGTCGGTCTTCAGTCCTGCCTGCACAGGGGTTTAACCCACTGCGCCACCGGGGGTTCCTGGGAAATGAGTGGCCTTTGAAGATTGCAGATCTCATCAGTTATAGCCAGCAAAGTCTGGGGTGAGGGACAATGGGAGCTGTAGTCCAAAAGTATCTAGAGCAGGGCTTCTTAAACTTTTCCACTTGCCACCCTTTTTGACTCATTTTTTTTACATCACCCTGTATATAAAATAGGTATAAAACTCAATCATTTGCTGACAACTGATCAGTTTTGTAAGGCTTGCTAAACAGACTAAAGTACAGCTGAAGCATTTTTTGCAGAGTCCACTGTAAACACTGCTTAACAGATTTGCGTGAATGTCTAAAACATCCAGTAGGTTGAGGCTCAGAAAACTTCTACTGTTGTCAAGTTTTTTGGGACCACAACACTGAGTTAAGGGGACTGCATATTTATTTATTTACTACTAGCTGTCCCCTGCCACACGTTTCTGTGGCCAAGTCTGTGTATATGTGTTTTGTGTGTGTATATATTTGTGTATATGTGTATATATCTATATAAATAAAAATGTAATGTTCGTTTGTGGGATTAACAGAACTCAAAAACTACTGGACGAATTGACACCAAATTTGGACATAAGACACCTAACAACCCAATGCATGTCCATTAAAAAAATTGATGTTGTCATTTGGGAGCTGTAGTTGGTGGGATTTATAGTTCACCTACAATCAAAGAGCATTCTGAACCCCACCAATGATGGAATTGAACCAAACTCGGCACACAATTCTCCCATGACCAACAGAAAATACTGGAAGGGTTGGTAGGCAGTGTCCTTTGGTTTTGGAGTTGTAGTTCAACTACATCCAGAGATCACTGTGGACTCAAACAATGATGAACCTGGACCAAACTCTACAAGAATACTCAATATGCCCAAATGTGAACACTGGTGGAGTTTGGGGAAAATAGTATCTTGACATTTGGGAGTTGTAGTTGCTGGGATTTATAGTTCACCTACAATCACAGAGCATTCTGAACTCCACCAATGATAGAATTGGGCCAAACCTCCCACACAGAACCCCCATGTGGGCCACAGCAATGTGTGGCAGGAGATGGCTAGTGTGTATATATGTGTGTTTGCGCGCGCACGTGTGTGTATATATATATATGTGTGTGTGTATATATATGTGTGTTTGTGTATATATGTGTGTGTGTGTGGTTTTGCACATGCTTTGTAATATATTCTTGTGTTTTTTGGCTCTTTAAGTCTCTTCTGCTGTGCTTTTCAGTGTTTTTATGAGTGATGGTCACTTGTTGGCCTGAGAGGTGTAATGTGTCCAAATTTGGTGTAAATTCATCCAGTGGTTTTTGAGTTATGTTAATCCCACAAACAAACATTACATTTTTATTTATATAGATTTATTTACTATATTTATACCCTGCTCTTCTCACCCAGAAGGGGACTCTAAGCAGCTTACAGATTATGGCAAAATTCAATGCCACATTATACATACAAACAATAAACAAAACAGCTCAAATTATAAACAGTTAAAACATATAAATACAATAAAAACAGATTAAAACATAGTGCCAAGTCCTATAGTCTTTATCAAGCTGCTACATACAAGTTGGATTCCATATTACTACTTCCTGAATGCCTGTGTGCAAAGCCAGGTATTTAGTTTTTTTGCCAAACACCAGGAGGGATGGGGCCAAGCTGCTGTCATTGGGGAGGGAGTTCCATAGCTGGGGGCCACCACCAAGAAGACCCTGTCTCTCGTCCCCACCAGTTGCTCTTGCAAAGGAGGTGGGACCGAGAGCAGGGCATCCCCAACAGATCTTAAGGCTCTAACTAGCTCAAAAAGGGAGATATGTTTGGACAGGGAAGTTGGACCAGAACCATTTAGGGCAGTGTTTCTCAACCTTCCTAATGCCGCAACCCTTTAATACAGTTCCTCATATTGGGGTGACCCCCAACCATAATGTTTTCGTTGCTAGTTCATAACTGTATTTTGCTACTCTTATGAGTCATAATGTAAATATCTGATATGCAGGATGTATTTTCATTCACTGGACCAAATTTGTCACTAATACCCAATACGCCCAAATTTGAATACTGGTGGGTTTGGGGGGATTTAATTTGTCATTTGTGAGTTGTAGATGCTGGGATTTATAGTTCACCCACAATCAAAGAGCATTCTGAGCTCCACCAACAATGGAATTGAACCAAATTTGGCACGCAGGATTCTCATGACTAACAGAAAATACTGGAAGGGTTTGGTGGGCATTGACCTTGAGTTTTGGAGTTGTTGTTCACCTACATCAAGAGAGCACTGTGAATTCAAACAATGATGGATCTGGACCAAACTTGGCACAAATACTCAATATGCCCAAATGTGAGCACTGGTGGAGTTTGGAGAACATAGGCCTTGACATTTGGGAGTTGTAGTTGTTCAGATTTATAGCTCACGTATARTCAAAGAACATTCTGAACCACACCAATGATAGAATTGGGCCAAACTTCACACACAGAACCCTCATGACAAACAAAAAAGACTGTGTTTTCCGATGGTCTTTGGTGATCCCTCTGACACTCCCTCGYGACCCCCCCCCCCAGATGTCCCAACCCCCAGGTTGAGAAACACTGATTTAGGGCTTTATAGCCCAAAGCCAGCACTTWGAATTGAACCTGGTAGCAAACTGGCAGCCAGTGGAGCTGACATAACAGGAATTGTGGCTGCCACCCATTGGACTATTTGGAGCTTCTGAACAGTCTTCAAAGGCAGCTCCACATAGATTGCATTGCAGTAGTCTATTGAAAATGTAACGAGAGCGTAGACCATTGCATATGGGGCTGGGGCCCACAATTTAAGGAGTAGTGATTTACAGGACTATCCATTCCCAGCTAGACCAACATGATTTAGTTATTTTTGGTTGCTGTGAAGCCTAATACAGGTATCCCCCAACATTTACTGAGGTCAGGGGCATAAAATCCTCATGACAATGGAAAAGAATAAAAAATTACTATTTTTAAAGCAGAAAGAACATCTCTCTAGGAATTTCGAGCTCTTCCAGGATGACTCCATTGTTACATTTTGCTGGATGGATGCTGACCATAGAACTGCATCGGAGAGCCTATAAAATCCTAAAGAGAACGTTTTCAGCAATCTGCAAATGTAAATTTGCCAACATGGAGGGCCAACAGTAATTGCTTAGAAAAATTGCAACATGAATGGTAATAAACTAATTTGTGTGTGGGTGTTTGAACTGTAAATCAGTAACTAAACTCTGAGTTCGTTTAAAAGACATCATGGAAAGAGATCATTCTGTTCTATTGTACATAGCAACTATAGTACTGGGCACATTATAAGAAGGAGTGGGACTGGAATATCTTGACAGGAGGAGGTCAAGTATAATTAAGGTTATGGAAACAGAGTTATGTAAGGAATGACTGAAAGAGCAGAGTATGTTGATCTTATTGAAGGTTAAGTTGGAACATGATAGCAGAATTCTGTTATGCAGAAGAGGATGAAAACCTGTTTTTGTCACTGCAGAGGGCAGGCCTAGAACCAGTGGGTAGAAATTACAGGGAAGTATATTGCCCCAGGTTCGATTCCGGGGAGCGGCATGAGCTTCCGCTGTCAGCCCCAGCTCCTGCCAACCTAGAAGTTTGAAAACATGCATATGTGACTAGATCATAGGGAAGGTAACAGCGCTCCATACAGTCATGCCGGCCACATGACCTTCGAGGTGGCTATGGGCAACGCCGGCTCTTCGACTTAAAAAGGGAGATGAGCATCACACCCCAGTGTCGGACACGACTGGACTTAATGTCAGGGGAAAACCTTTGCCTATATTGCATAAAAATGTGAGGAGAAGGACTTTCTGGGATGCTGTAGTTCTGCTTGGCATTTCAGTGCAGTACTGAGCAGCAGGGTGAACTTGGTTTCTTCTCAATTTATCTTCCACCTCTCTAGTATTAAAGGCAATCAAATGCTTGTGCCATGCTTTTGTATTACTAACTGTCTTTATTGTGTCTCCAAATCAAGGCAACTCAAACAACAGCACAGTTGGAACCACAACATTGGCACCCCATCTTCCATATAGCCTTTCGGTATGTGTGTCTTTTTGAGATTCCTTTTGGGTGTGAGCTAGATGGGGATAATATTTCAATAAGGCTCAGAATACTAGTTCAATGGGGCTGGTGGTGGTGGGGTGGTGGTGGTGGTAACAATTCCTGTGAAAGGGTTGATTATAGTTTACCTTGAGTTAGCCATTCTTCAACTGGGACAACTTGCTTTCTTCTAGGTCAGTGGTTCTCAGCCTGTGGGTCCCCAGGTGTTTTGGCCTACAACTCCCAGGAATCCCAGCCAGTTAACCAGCTGTTAGGATTTCTGGGAGTTGAAGGCCAAAGCATCTGGGGACCCACAGGTTGAGAATAATAATAATAATAATAATAATAATAATATAGATTAACTGTTCTAGGTGGAAATGGGAACGGGCAGAGATTCTGGAGGAAGAGTATAATCCAACAAAATAAAATCTCTAATTTCTAGGAAGGGCAAATTGAAACTCTTGGCTTCAGGACAAAATTAGGAACCCCCGGTGATGCAGTGGGTTAAACCCCTGTGCTGGCAGGACTGAAGACTGACAGGTCGCAGGTTCGAATCCGGGGAAAGGCGGATTAGCTCCCTCTATCAACTCCAGCTCCTCATGTGGGGAAATGAGAGAAGCCTCCCACAAGGATGATAAAAACATCAAATCATCCAGGCATCCCCTGGGCAATGTCCTTGCAGACGGCTAATTCTCTCACACCAGAAGCGACTTGCAGTTTCTCAAGTTGCTCCTGACATGACAAAAAAAGAGGACAAAATTACAAGAATGAAGGTGTTCCATGTGGGAAATGTTCCACTATAGATCAAGTGATGTTTTATGGTGCAGCAGTCGCTCCCTGCTGTCACAGCGGGTTAAACCGCTGAGCTGCTGAACTTGCACACCGAAAGGTTGGCAGTTCGAATCTGGGGAGCAGAGTGTGAGCTCCCGCTGTTAGGTCAAGCTTCTGCCAATCTAGCAGGTTGAAAACATGTAAATATGAGTAGATCAATAGGTACTGCCTTGCCAGGAAGGTAACAGCGCTCCAAGCAGTCATGCTGGCCACATGACTTTGGAGGTGTCTATGGACAACGCTGGCTCTTTGGCTTCTTCTTCTTCTTCTTCTTCTTATTATTATTATTATTATTAACTTTATTTGTACCCCGCTAGCATCTCCCGCAGGACTCGATGCGGCTGACAAAGGCCAAGGCCAAGGCCTCAATAAAAAACAACAGCATAACAATACACATAACATTTCATGCTTAGAAATGAAGATTTATTTTATTTATTTCCAGTATTTCTACCCTGTCCTTCTCAACCCCCGAAGGGGGACTCAGGACGGCTTACACTTGGCAACAATTTGATGCCGCTACACATAACAAATGCAATAATACAACAACAATTAAAAACAATAAATAGAACATTAATTAAAAACAATAAAAACACTATAGTCAGCTGTATTACCATTCCAGTTGGATTCCACATCTAAAGTGCTAGTTATGCCTGCTGTCCAAAAGCCTCGTCCCAGAACCACGATTTCAATTTCTTCTTGTTGGGAAGCGCATTCCACAGGCGGGGGGGCAACAGCCAAGAAGGCCCTGTCTTTTGTCCCTGCAAGACGCTGATGGGAGTGAGAGCAAGGCCACCCTCCAGAGTTGGACATGACTAGACTTAATGTCAGGGGAAAACTTTACCTTTAGTCGCGACTTGTTAAAGTTGTTTATTTGTCATTTATCAAATTCTTCTCCCTCCTTTATATTTCCCAATTGCAGAACTCTGAATTGGCAGCAGCCATAGCGGTGCCTTGTGTCTTTGTAGGCCTCCTGCTGATCGGCCTTCTGGTTTTCATGGGACTCAAAATCCGCGAGAAGCGCCAGACAGAAGGCACCTACCGGCCCAGCAATGAAGAGCAGGCAGGTACCCAGGCGGGGACCACCCCCAACCTTAAGCTGCCCCCAGAAGAGCGGCTCATCTGAAAACGGGGAAAAGGCTCTGTTTTCCAGCCACAGCTTAGAAGGAGCTAGTTTGCAGCCCAGACTGTTTGGAAAAGAAAGGAAAGCAAGTGAAAAAATATGGACCTTCTGCTGTCACGTGTGTCCCTCAGCATTACAGACAGTCTGAATATGAACTGAAAATGGGAGAGTTCATAAATGTCTCTAGAAGGGTTTTGAGGACCCTCTGGTGCTAACTTAGCAGTGATGAGGAAAGAGACAATCCTCTTGGAGTGGATTAGTTCTCAGAAGAGAAGGGATACCCTTCCCGTCATGGGATGCCAATGCTCCAGAACTGCTTCCTCCGTCTGTCCGTCCTCTTCAGAAGGATGAATTTGTCTGCCTGTTGTAAGACGAGTGGAATGGATTATCGCTGTAGACAGCACAACTGTCTGAAAAGGAAAACAGGGGCTGGGACTGCCGTTGGGTTTTAATTTTGAGCTTGAAAAAGTTCCCCGTTTTGTCTACCACTTCCAGATCTCCCAGTTAGTCTGGTGCTTGGGGAGGGGAATGCGGATGCAATTGGGGAAGCTCTTTGCTGAAGCTCTGGTTTTAAGTATACCCTACAGGATTCAGGGCAGGGTTGACTTTTTTTTAATGAGAAAGAGTAGTTTGCACTGTGCCTTTTAAAAATGCCACTATTTAATAAAGACTCGTCTCGCTTCTCTGGTGGGGTCAAAGACACTGGTGCCAGGGAAGTGCCATTGCCGCTGGCTGCCTTGGACACAGGTTTTCTGCCAGTTGAAATGTTTTAAATGAACCATAGGAGGGCAGCACTGCTCTCCACAACCAGATGAAAAAAACTAAGCAAACCTCAAAAGGTTCAAAGCTCAAAACATCCAGAAAACATGTCTTGCAGGCATTTTGATTGGGTTCTTTGACCCTTCCCCATAAGTCTATTACTTAGCAACATTCAATTACCAAAATTATAGAAACTATTTCTAGAGTATATACATTAGAAATATTCTCTGGATGGAAAGTCTCCATCATCTCTGATTTTGGGGGTTTCCACTCCTTCTGGTATAGTAATAATAATAATAATAACACTTTATTTGTACCCCGCTACCATCTCCCCAAGGGACTCGGTGCGGCTTACATGAGGCCGAGCCCAAACACAACAGTACAAGCAATAATAACAACAGTACAAGCAATTAAAAACATATAGACAATAAGATAAACAACATTATCAATAAAACAACACATAATTAAAAACAGTTGGAAGGCCAAATGTTAAGTTAAAATTGGAAATAATGCTGGGACATGAACGGAAGGTGATACTGGTGTTTGTGGAAGGGCATACGAGCAGACTTAAAGAAATGTAAAGTGCTTTGAAGGACAAAGTGCTATGGGGTCATAATTCCGGGAAGGCACACTGGAACAACCACGTCTTCAAGTTCCTCCTGAAGACTGCCAAAGATGGAGCCCGTCTGATGCCTTTAGGGAGTGAGTTCCAGAGTCGAGGGGCCACCACTGAAAAGGCCCTCTCTCTCGTCCCCACCAATCACACCTGTGATGCTGGTGGGATCGAGAGCAGGGCCTCTCCGGATGATCGAAGGGATTGCGTGGGCTCGCATACAGCGATGCGGTCACGCAGGTAGGCGGGTCCCAAACCGTTCAGGGCTTTGTAGGTAAGAACCTTCACCTTGAATTGGGTCCGGTAGATGAATGGCAGACAGTGGAGCTCCTTGAACAGGAGCATTATAGTATAGCATTATGGATTTTGTATGTGGATGCTCTGATGTGAGAAGATGGCAGGAGAATCTGTTTCTGCCAACACAGTTGTGCTCACTGCAATCTAGATGCAGCCCATAGTGCTTTAAAGCATCCAAATCATTTTACACCTATTTATCTTCTATGCCTACAACCATTCTGTAAAATAAATCAGTATTATTATCCCCATATTGCAGATGGGACGACTGAGGTTGAGAAATCATTGTCTTCTAGTGAATGCATGGCATGGTTTATTCTTCCTGTAAATATTCTCACTAGGCCTGGGTTCCTTCAATAAAAAGCCCTCTCTCTCTTAGGGCTGCTGAAGTTCTGGATGTGACAGAATAAAACACTGGTTCCCTTTTATCTGTATGTATTCCTCTAAAATATACATTTTTTTTAAAAAAAAAAATCAGTATGTGCCTTTCTTGTAGCATAGTTACCATTTCTGTTACATTTCTGAATGAGTAGTAATTCTTTTAACTACAAAATGACAGGGGATGTATAGCTCTACAGATGGGGATTGCAATCATCATTAACCCCCATAAGCGATAAGGAATGCTGGGAGATGCAGTCCAGTCAACCTCCAGAGATCCACACACTCCCCATACATAGTATATCTATATCATATAAATAGATTTCAATATATTGTCAAAGGCTTTCATGGCCGGAATCACTGGGTTGTTGTAGTTTTTTCGGGCTATATGGCCATTCTCTCCTGATGTTTCGCCTGCATCTATGGCAAGCATCCTCAGAGGTACTCACTACCTTCGAGGATGCTTGCCATAGATGCAGGCGAAACGTCAGGAGAGAATGCCTCTAGAACATGGCCATATAGCTCGTAAAACCTACAACAATAAAATGATTTTCATTGCTATTTCATAAATATCATTTTGCTACTGTTATGAATTGTCATGTAAATATCTGAAATGCAGGATGTATTTTCATTCACTGGACCAAATTTGGCACAAATACTTGATAGGCCCAAATTTGAATACTGGTGGGGTTGGGGGAGGATTGATTTTGTCATTTGGGAGTTGTAGTTGCTGGGATTTATAGTTCACCTACAATCAAAGAGCATTCTGAACTCCACCAATGATGGAATTGAACCAAACTTGGCAAATAGAACTCCCATGACCAACAGAAAATACTGGAAGGGTTTGGTAGGCCTTGACCTTCAGTTTGGGAGTTGTAGTTCACCTACATCTGGAGATCACTGTGGACTCAAACAATGATGAATCTGGACCAAACACTGGTGGAGTTTGGGGAAAATAGACTTTGACATTTGGGAGATTTATAGTTCACCTACAATCAAAGACCATTCTGAGCCCACCACTGATAGAATTGGGCCAAATTTCCCACACAGAACTCCCATGCCTTGAAACGAATTGCTGGTGTGAGCCTCCTTCCAGCCTCGCATGCTCTCCCTCACTCACACATGTGCACCACGTTGCCATTTCTGAGACCCCACAGCTCTCCCCTTGGCTGAGAGGCTGGCAAATCACAGCGGAGGAGGGCTTTTGGTGGGAGGATTAGCCATCTGTTTCCAAAAAAGGAAGAGAAGGGCAGGCAGAGAGTTCTTCAGCCATCTCTACCAAAGGGCTTCCTAAAACCATCAGAAATATCTGTTTTCTGGTGGTCCTTTGGCAACCCCTCTGAAACCCACTTGCGACCCTCACAGGGGTCCCAACCCCCAGGTTGAGAAACACTGCAGTAGAGAAAGGTAGACCTCCAAGATATGGACAGGACTCTTTTTCCTTCACAGGCACGAGGGGGCAGCACAATATAGGGGAATTACTTTAAGCTATCAAGTCCCTACTGCAGTCTTACAGGAATTTGCCTACAGATAAGCAAATGCAAACAAGCAGACCTTGGCAATGAGGAAGGAACATGCAGTATTACAGTAGTTTCAGTCCTGGGTTAACTGTGAATGAAGTGTTTTGAAGACAGGCAGGAGATTTTCTTGATTTCAACTGAAGCTGTTCTAAAATATTGCGACAGAAAATCCAAAATGACATTCATCCCTTGGTAGCGAGCACAAGAACATGATTCACACAAAGGTTCTGCACAGTCCTCCCTGCATTCAATGCATATTTAGTCTTTTAGGTTGCGATGGTGAAAGCCCTTAAGTTACATGGAACTCATTTGCACCCTATTCATCTCAACTATGTTGGCATGTCAGACCTCACAACCTCTGAGGATGCCTGCCATAGAAATGTCAAGAGAGAATGCTTCTGGAACATGGTCATACAGCCCGGAAAATTCACAGCAACCCAGTGATTCCGCCCATGAAAGCCTTCAACAACACATTGGCTTTCATGGCTGGAATCACTGGGTTGTTGTAGGTTTTTTGGGCTGAAATGTCAAGAGAGAATGCTTCTGGAACATGGTCATACAGCCCGGAAAACCTACAACACATTGGCATGTATTGTTGAAGGCTTTCATGGCTGGAATCACTCTCCTCTGAAGATGCCAGCCACAGATGCAGGTGAAACGTCAGAAGAAAATGCTATAAGAGTATGGCCATACAGCCTGGAAATCACATGACACCACACTATGTTGGCATGGTTTCCAGGCAATTTTCTACTTGAAAAGTGGCCTAAACTAGCTGAAATTGTGAGGCAGATTTCTTGTTTGCCAGTGTGGCCTGCATGGAGTGAAAATCTTCCCCCACATGGAACTGACCACTTATTTACTGTCTCTCTTGGTATAGCTACTATTGATGTAAATATTTGAAAACCCTGGCAGGCCTTCTGTTAAGATGTTGTGATGTCCTAAGCTAGAGTTACACCCAAAAATGCCTGTAAAATCCAACCTGAAAGCTGGGTAGTTTGTATCTTCTCACTTTGAGGACCTGTGAACAAGTGCCATATTAAAAAAATATAGCATTGTAAATCTGGACTATGGGAACAAATAAACAATTCACGAGGCTTTGCATATTATTTTCCCCCAAATAAGATTGTCAATGCTTTTATGAACTCTTTGTCATTCACAATATGTAGAGGGATCTTTTGAAATGAATTGAAAGAAATCATAGTGCAAGCTTCTGTAGATGAAGTCTATGACCTCAAATTTGGGCTTTTATGGGCAAATTATTTGAATAGCCATGGATATGGAAAACATGTGGTTGTTCTGATGAGGTGCCAAGTTCAGTTTCCTGGCACATTATGCATACGGTAACAGTAGTTAACACCCCAGCTCCATGAAAGTGCTTTGGGCCAGTTTATCGCATCACCTTTCCGGTTCCTAGCCAGAACTATAGACTACATTCCACTAACTCCCTCCACCATTCATATGGTTATCCACTCTTCCCGGTCTTGGGCAATGTCTGTCCTCCTGCCTTTGTCCCCCAGCTTGGTACCTCATCACCATAAGTGTTGCATTTCCATGGCTATTCATACAACTTAACCAAGTCACACCAAACATTTGAGGAAGTGGTAATTATGCCACAATTCCTTTCTCCCCATCTCAAAGATGCTACAAGATCCCTTTGCATGCCAAAGACCTCATATAAACAATGACCCTCTTGGGTTGTTGTACATTTTTTCGGGCTATATGGCCATGGTCTAGAGGCATTCTCTCCTGACGTTTCACCTGCATCTATGGCAAGCATCCTCAAAGGTAGTGAGGTCTGTTGGAACTAGGAAAAAGGGTTTATATATCTGTGGAATGATCAGGTTGGGACAAAGGACTCTTGTCTGCTGGAGCTAGATGTGAATGTTTCAACTGACCACCTTGATTAGCATTTGATGGCCTGGCGGTGCCTGGGGCAATTTTTTGTTGAGAGGTGATTAGATGTCCCTGATTGTTTCCTCTCTGTTGTTTTGCTGTTGTAATTTTAGAGGTTTTTTTTAATACTGGTAGCCAGATTTTGTTCATTTTCATGGTTTCCTCCTTTCTGTTGAAATTGTCCACATGCTTGTGTATTTCAATGGCTTCTCTGTGTAGGTTGTGAGAGTGGTCCAGCATGGTGGTTGTGAGAGTGGTCCAGCATTTCTGTGTTCTCAAATAAAATGCTGTATCCAGGTTGGTTCATCAGGTGGTCTGCAGTGGCTGACTTCTCTGGTTAAAGTAGTCTGCAGTGCCTTTCATGTTCCTTGATTCGTGTTTGGGCGCTGTGTTTGGGCACTGCGTTCAACAGAAAGGAGAAAACCATGAAAATGAACAAAATCTGGCTACCAGTATTAAAGAACTCTAAAATTACAACAGCACAACAACAGAGAAGAAACAAACAACGACATCTAATCACCTCTCAACAAAAGTTTGCTCTAGGCACTGTCAGGCCATTATATGCTAATCAAGGTGGTCAGTTGAAACATTCACACCTAGCTCCAGCAGACAAGAGTCCTTTGTCCCACCCTTGTCATTCCACAGATATGCTGGAACCCTTTTTCTAGTTCCAGCAGACCTCACTACCTCTGAGGATGCTTGCCATAGATGCAGGCGAAACATCAGGAGAGAATGCCTCTAGACCATGGCCATATAGCCCGAAAAAACCTACAACAACCCAGTGATTCCGGCCATGAAAGCCTTCGACAATACAATGACCCTCTTGTTTGGGGGTAAATAATACGCCTGGTGCGCTTTTGGTTCTATGAAAAATTGTTACATTATGTTGCTATGTGGTATTGTTAATTACTCAGGTTGATTTGATTTCAGTGCAAAGCAGCTATACCAAGCAAAGGAGGTCTTTTGCACTGATGGGCAAAGTGCTGGAGGATGATGCATCCAGCTCTCTTCCTTTCAGTGAACTGCAGTGTGAAGACAACTTGACAAAGGATGCCTAGCTTCCACTCTTCACAATACAGCTTGCTGGTGGGATTGGGGGGGGGGGGGGGGGGGGTTGTACGCATCATCCTTCAGCACCCCATTCACCAACACTATAGAACCCCTTCACCTCGTTTTTTTAAGGTGGGTTTCCTGAATGGTTATGCTACATTCAGGAAATGTAGCATAACCATGGCACTGTAGATAAAAGATCCCATGCAGGATCCCAGTTTACGTTTACAGACTCAAGAATTGAGGTTGAACTACGCTCACTTTCGGCTAACATAAGAACTTTGAATTGTCATAGTTATAACCCCGGGCTCCTCATAAGTGCAGTAGACTCTCAGTTAAATGGAAGTCAAGTAACCGGAACTCTTAAGCAACCAGCCAAAAATAAATGAAAATGCTTTAAATAAAAAGTTAACATAAAATCAGTTTTAGCAGAAATGTTACACTAAGTTTGTCTTAATTTGCTTAATATTTCAATACTAATATCCAGTCAATACAGTGTTTATGTCATGGTATAGTATGGAATATAGTATTAGTTAGGTCTATTTTAAATAGCAACTCTCAAGCAACCGGAAACTGCATTTATCCAGCATCCAACAATCCCCATGGGTGCATTTTTCATTTTGCTTTTTCCAAAGATAACTGTTTCTCAAAAATAGCTGCATTATTACTTCTACCTTTTTAGTTACTTTATACAAACAGTAGCATGATGTGAAGTGACATAGCTACAAAAGTATTATTAAAGTTACAGGTTAACTTTTTAAATCTGCAGTCAAAACATCAAGACAGCAAAAGGAGCTGTTATATTTGGCCACAATCATTATATAAGTGTGGTGGAATCACTATTTACCTCAGTGGGCATCACTGCCATTTTGTAATTTAGGTGACATTGCTTGATTTTATTTAAGTTTATTGCTCATTGCCCTCATGACCTGACAGGATACCCATCAAGTGATGAAAGCACAGACTACACCACTCAGTGTTCATTCAGTCGTTCATGTGCTTTTTCTCATACGACTCTTGGTTCTCACACAAGGAAACGTTTCACAAAAAGCAGCCTCTCTGTTTAGAAGAGGAATGGGAATCTGGCAAGTTTGGCATATTTATTTAAATGTCTGTTCTATCAGAAAATTGGAAATGTTACATTTTCTAAAACTGTACATACCCCCCCCCCCTCCAAAATAACATTTCAAAGCCTAGGTGCTAACTCCTAAAACTAGGAGTCTTCAGCTGTCCAGGTGAACAAACTGCTTATTATGGTAACAGATGGAGAGAAGCAGGAATGGCTGGCCATAATGAAGCTACCCCTCTTCCTCATAGCCATAATTTGGGTGTGTCAGAGCTATTGCTTGCACTAGAGCTTTTCAAAGTCCAGAGTCTTCTTTTAGAGGACCAGACCTTTAGTGTGGCTTACACCAGCCACGGGGCCAATGTGTTCTTTCCAGAAGCTACATCTAGAAGGTCTGACTTCCCAACTGTATCCACAGCCCATTTTCAAGAATACCTTCTAGGCCTCAAATCTCTTTTTCAGTTCCGAGACTCTGGGCTGGGCCATAGGTCTGGGTGCCAAGAGGCGTTGTGTGCTGGTGACCTGTGGAAGGGTTGGCAAGTTCTCATTGTTTACTTTGACACTGGTGGTCAAGCTAACTTTTGTTTGGCATGATGCTGCAGGTGCTTGGATGCTAGAGTAACTAGTGGCTTGCAGTTCTTCCTTTGGGCTGGGGATGTCTGCTGAAGCAAGAATCTGGTCAACCCTTGATTCTTCTACATGTCTGATACCAGTAGGGCTTTCTGTTCTTGGTGCAATAGGATGGGAGATCTCCTGGTATGCATTCTGGGTCCATCCCACATGTGACAGCTCGTTGCTATCATGTGCAGCTATCTCCTCCTCTTCTTCCTGGAGAGGCAAAGTTGCCTTCTCTGGACCAGATACCTCTTGAGACCCGGAGGTACCATAGCTACACATCTCATGGCTTTGGTCTGCAGCACTCATGGATAGCAGCAAGGCACTCTGCATATTCTCTTGGTGCAGAGAGGGCAGGGACATCCTGTCAACAGATAAGAACTCCCCATCATCCTGTTCTTCTGACAGGGGTTCATAAAGGGTTTCTCTGCTGGGCCTTATCTGCAACAGAGAAGGAGAGATTTAAACACACATAACATGTGTATACTTGTGATCTACTGCATACATGTGGTTCTCAACCTGTAGGTCCCCAGATGTTTTGGCCTTCAACTCCCAGAAATCATAACAGCTGGTAAACCGGTTGGGATTTTTGGAAGTTGTAGGCCAAAACACCTGGGGATTATTATTATTATTATTATTATTATTATTATTATTATTAACTTTATTTGTACCCCGCTAGCATCTCCCGAAGGACTTGATGCGGCTTACAAAGGCCAAGGCATCAAAACACAACATAACAATACAACACCTAAAGCAAATTAAAAACAGTTAAAGCAATATTAAACAACAAGCAATAAACAATACATCAAGACACTATAAAACTGGGCCGGGCCAGGGTAATGGGTACAAGATTAAAAGTGCTGATGTGGCAGGTGTTATGTAAGGATTATAGGGTAAGTGCAGTGTGCAGAGTGCAGCAATCTTAGTTCTAATAAAGTGCTTCTGGGACTTGTTATTGGAGATTCCTATTCTGGAAAGGCACATCGGAACAGCCAGGTCCTCAAGTTCTTTCTAAAGTCTGCCAATGTAGGGGCCTGTCTAAGATCTTTTGGGAGGGTGTTCCAGAGTCGGGGGGCCACCACAGAAAAGGCCCTGTATCACATCCCCACCAAGCACGCCTGCGATGCAGGCGGAATCATGAGCAGGGCCTCTCTGGATGAACAAAGTGAGCGCGTGGGTTCATAAATGGAGATGCGGTCACGCAGGTAGGATGGTCCCAAACCGTTTAGGGCTTTGTAGGTAAGCACCTGCACCTTAAATTGGGCTCAGAAAATAAACAGCAGCCAGTGGAGCTCCTTGAACAGGAGGGTTGACCTCTCTGTGTAAGGAGCCCCGGTTAACATCCTGGCTGCTGCCCGTTGGACCAGTTGGAATTTCCGAGCCGTTTTCAAGGGCAGCCCCACGTAGAGCGCATTACAGTAGTCCAATCTAGAGGTGACCAAGGCATGGACCACCCCGGCCAGATCAGCCTTTGCGAGGTATGGTCGCAGTTGGCGCACAAGTCTCAATTGTGCACAGGTTGAGAACCACTGCCTGAGCTGAAAAGTTAGATGGATCCAGTTAGATGGATCTCACCATATTGTTTGGTGAGGTGGGTCTTATAGAATCAATCATCAAATGCCTGTCTAAAGAAGAAGAAGTCTTCACTTGCCTGGGAAAATAAAATAGAAAGGGTCCCAGTCTTAACTTCTCTCTGGGAAGAGAGTTCCAGAGGCTAGACGCTGCCACTGAGAAGGTCCTTTCCCATGTTTCAACCACATGTACCAGTGAGGTTTGTAAGACAAAGCAAACAGATCTGAAAGCATGGGCTGTTTTGTAAGGGAAAATATAGTTCTTAAGATAACCCACTGAGCAAGCCTTACAAATGCTGATTTGTTATCAGAAAATGTTTGATTTTTATACCTATTCTATATGCCAATATACCTGGAAAAATTGTGCCTGGAAAAAAGTTTAAGAAGCCCTGCTTTAGACAACCACACTGACAATCCTTTATTATTAGCTATGGAGGTTGGGAATTATTGGTTAAAACATATTAAAGGTTCAAAAGCTCTTCACCGCCAAGTTAAAAGTTTACTCAGAGATTTCCGGTTATTGTAATAGATGACAACTGCCAGAATCCCAGAGGTCATGCAAGTTGACAAACTCAAGGAACTGCAGTCCATAAAAATATGTTTTCCAAGTTCTGGTTGAGCTTGTATCAAGGTTACATCATGCCATCTGCATCTGGGTATCCTTGAACAGGTTCATAGGTGCCTCAGTCAAGAGGACTTACCTTAGTATAGAAATTCTTTTCATCTAAATTGCAGAAATCCAGGCTGCGGGTGCCATAGAGAGGTCGTCCAGCTGAGCTGGGCTCCAACAGGTTGAGTGTCTCAAAGATTTCACCCAAGAGATCGAAACCACCAGAATCCAGTGAACTCTGTTGCAGATGTTCACCTTCATACGGGTCCAGGGAGCAATCCAAGGATGTTGTGCTCAAAGAAGGAGAAACATCCCTGGGAATGCATATATATTTCAGATGTGAATGTTATCAGGATGAAAACATTATACAAGAAAACATTACATGAAAAATTCATATCTCATGCTGAAAGCTGAATTTTAAGTGACATGTGGAATAAACTTGACACTGTAGTAAATCGTTGCTGAGTGAATAATAGTGTATGTGAGTATACTTCTGCATAAGTCAAGTCAAAAACTGTTTGTTAAAATCTAACATGTTTTATACCAGCCTGGAGCCCCTGATGGCAGAGTGGGTTAAACCACTGAGCTGCTAAACTTGCTAACTGAAAGATTGCAGATTCAAATTCGGGGAGCAGAATGAGCTCCCACTGTTAGCCCCAGCTTCTGCTAACCTAGCAGTTTGAAAGCATGCAAATGTGAGTAAATCAATAGCTGGGAAGGTAATGGTGCTCTATGCAGTCATGCTGGCCACTTGTCCTTGGAGGTGTCCATGGACAATGCCGGCTCTTCAGCTTAGAAATGGAGATGAGCAGCAACCCTCAGAGTTGGACACGGCTGGATTTAATGTCAGGGGAAAACCTTTACCTTTTACTGGAGCTAAAATATGGCTCTGTAGGACTATTCTTTTCCTCTCTAGCATGTTTGAATTACTGCTCAACAATACAGTAAGATCCCTTTATCCATGAGTGATATATTTTTGTTTCCAGATATATGACCCAGTGCCATTAAAATTGCTGACTTTTGGTCCTAGCCAAACAGTTGCACTAGAAGGCCAAGAGATTCCTAGAGAGGTATCCTTTCTAAGGGAACTTCCAGACAATACCAAAACGCAGGATTAATATGCAGGATAAACAAACTTGGGATCTCACATACAGACCTGCCAGTGCTGGGCTTACTACTGTCCCCACAGCTTTTCTGTCTTTTGGGATAAAATGGAAGATGGACAGGGGACATCTGCTGGAAGTTTTTTTTATCTTGCCATTAAGTGCTGATACATATATGCGTACATGCGAATATCCTAATACAAATATGGAGAGATTACTACTGACCGAGAGGTCATGAGTTTGAAGCCAACCCGGGTCAGAGTGAGCTCCCGACTATTAATAGTCTAGCTTGCTGTTGACTGATGCAGGAAATTTAGGAACTGCTTTATGTGGGAAGGCTAATTTAACTAATTTATGATGCATAAAACCTTCCAGCAGCATGCATAAGAATGAGGAAGTACTCCATCAAAGATTCGGTGTCACAAGTGGACAGTGAAGTAGAGGCTCCCCCTGTGGGCAGAATCAAGCATACCCTCATGAAGCCGGAAAGCTGGAGTGTTAAATTGCCTCTGTGTCTGTCTATATATGTTGTATGTCTAATGGCATTGAATGTTTGCCATGTATATGTGCATTGTGATCCGCCCTGAGTCCCCTGTGTGGTGAGAAAGGTGGAATATAAATACTGTCAATAATAAATAAATAAATAAATCCTGGCCTCAGTAGAAGGTACTGGCTTGTTTCCAATGCATGTGGAATGCAGGATGTTACTTTTTGTCTCAGGCATCCAAATCTCTTGAATTGCTTCTATTGGATTGACCATTGAATGATTCCTGAGCCAGGCTTCGTGAATTATCAAATCGCTTAACCAACATGTGAACTGCACTACAGAAGAGCTTGCCAATTTCCTAGCTGGCTGGAAAAGCCTGCATAAACCTGCTCATTTGACTCTGTTCCCCCTTTCCTTCTGTATCTCTGTGGGCTTAATGACAGATGAACAGATACAAGAGAAGTCAATGCACATATGTCTTTCCCAAGAAGGAATTCTGGAAGGTGCAATGTGCCTGAACGAAGCCTTTTTGCTGGCATTCATTAGTCAAACGAATGATGTACAAGTGGTACTTTCACTATATAAAGTGATTCACCCACATTAAGTGCTTCTACTCTAGTTGTGATGCTGAGTTTTCTCCAGAGGCTTCTACCTAGAGAGAGTTATGCTGACTCTGATGCTACTGTTGGTGATATAACTCTGCACAGAAATGCAACATACTCTTATTTCTTTCACTGATGTATTTTAGCTTTGCTTGTAAAACCTGGTGGCTACCACTTCTTATATCTTGCTTTCCTGTAAAACTACAAAGCACAGGATTTCATAATATTGAACCATAAGGTCAAAACCAATACTTTGTACTTTGCCCAGAAACTAATTAACAGCCAGTGGAGTGATTATGGATTACTTGTGTCCTTGCAACACATGGGATATGGTCAAGATAGGAGCAGAGTTATGAATGGGAACAGCAAGAGTGGTCCACCTACTCAGCACACCTCACCTCTGATTCTCCAAATCTGTCCTGCTATTTGGTCTTTGTGGTCTCCTGGGGCGGGACTGTGAAGAGAAAAAAGAAGAGCCTATGACAATATTATATTATGATACCTGGCGGTGGAATAGGGAGGTAGGCTACTGACTCTACTCTGCCCAAGATGACGATTATGTTATGAGATTCAGAGCTTCAAATGCCTCCCTCTAGTATCAGATGGTCAATCACTGAATACATAAAACATAGAGGAAGGCACAGGAACATTTGAACTGTTTCCAGAGGGAGGGTTCTCAGTATAATCAACTCAGAAGGCACCAAACAGTTAAAAAAGCCAGAGGAAGCACTGGCGAAATATGAATAGGTTAGAAATGGAAATGGACAACATCTCTCCCCACCCAGCCCACAAATCAAGTGCTTAAGATAGGGTGGCTGATCTCAAAGCACCTTCTAAAGACTTCTAAGATAAAAACAAAGGAATAAAATCTCACCACCGCCACCCCCAAAATACCCCACATACATTCCTAGATTCCTTTTTCTGTCCAAGGACTCTTTATATATAAGGTTTTCAAAAGAAAAGAGGAAGTACTTTGACCACATAATGAGAAGAAAGGAAAGCTTAGAGAAGACAATGATACTGGGGAAAATGGAAGGGAAAAGAAACAGGGGCCAACCAAGGGCAAGATGGATAGATGGTATCCTTGAAGTGACTGGCTTGATTCTGAAGGAGTTAGGGGTGGTGACGGCTGACAGGGAGCTCTGGCGTGGGCTGGTCCAGAACGTCACGAACAGTTAGAAGCAACTGATGAATAAAAAACAACTTCAGAAGAAAACAGCTTTGCTTTTGTGTGAATCCATTCAGAGAATTTGGAGAGGAAGAGAAAGCCATGGACTCAAAATTTCATCTATCTTTGTTTTTGCAGGACATCCTGCAACACATTCGCTATAGTTTTTCAATGAATGTCTCACCGAATCTCAATCAATTCAACATAGTTTGTGGCAGCCACAAAAAACGTTTCTGGAGTATAACAACTACTTTTAAAGTAAGTACTGTACAATTAAATAGGAAATAACACTTTCAAACCAGGTACAGAATTTTGTTATATAGTGATATCAATCAGAATGGTAAACTCCTAAAAAATAATAGGACTTAAGTCCTATTATAATATTATTATAAGTTCTATTATTATTATTATTATTATTATTATTATTATTATTATTATATAATAATAATATTACTTATATATTATACATTATACTATATATTATACTTATATATTATATAATATATTAGTATAATATATTATACTAATATTACTTATTATATAATAATAATAATATTACTTCTGATATTATTATTATAAGTCCTATTATTATTATTATTATTATTATTATTATTATTATTATAAGCCCTATTATTAAATAATAATAGGACTTATTATTTAACCCACTGCGCCACCGGAGCCCCCGGGTGGCGCAGTGGGTTAAACCCCTGTGCTGGCAGGACTGAAGACCAACAGGTCGCAGGTTCGAATCTGGGGAGAGGCAGATGAGCTCCCTCTACCAGCTCCAGCTCCTAAAGCGGGGACATGAGAGAAGCCTTCCACAAGGATGATAAAACATCAAAACATCCGGGCGTCCCCTGGGCGATGTCCTTGCAGACGGCCAATTCTCTCACACCAGAAGCGACTTGCAGTTTCTCAAGTCTCTCCTGACACGACAAAAAAAAAATTATTGAGCTCTCATAGGCTGTCTGCAACCTATTTATACTTATTTCAGAGTAAACTACACTGAACACATGAAGGAACTTCCAAACAGTCTTCATATGTACAGATATTTCAAAGATAATATGTGTGGAACATAATTTACCTCACCAAGTACCTAGCAGGTAAGGAAAATAAGTAACAACCTGCTTGCTGGTATTGAGCCCCTTCCCCTTAATAACAAGCCTGGGGTCCCTGCCTTTTACAATCTTCATGCAACCAGCCCATAACCTCAAGAGAAGGCAAATTGCTGCTGATGGGGAAAAACCACGTTCATCCAGTCATCCCTGGGTTTTTGAACCTGGGTTGTGTCTCATGGTAATGTGCTGGTGCACTACATTGGGAGTAATGTGGGATAAAAATAGAGTAAATAAATAAACAATACATGTTTGGCACACTTTCTATCCATAGTTTCATTATCATGTCATCAAAACTCTGAAATCTATTTTGTTTTTTGTCCAAAAAGCAAGAAGAAAAAAAAAATCAACAACAAAAGGTGGGGATTACTATAACCCCAGAAACCATTTGTGGTTCTCCCTGAAGTCTCCTTCCTCTTGTGGAAGCCCCCTAACTGAGTTTCCTTTTCCTTCCATGTCATTTGAAATCTCCCTTCCCCTGGCCCATCCCTACCTTCCCAAAATGCTGGGTGATGGGCAACCGGCTCTGCAGGGTCTCAGACTGTCTATTCCTGTCGGGCATGATAGGACTAGAGATGTGATCACAGTTCATGGAAAGATCTCGCTGTTGCTGCTGGTCTACACGGGAGTCCTAGAGGAGATTACAGTTATATCGAGCACACACTTCTTTCGCTACCCTATCCTTGCCAGGATGTTCAAACAAAACAACATTGAGTCCCATATACAGTTAACAAAAACAGATTCCAGCCACGTGGGGATTTTCCTCTGTACCTTTATCATTTTTAGAGATGCTTTGGATAGGGAGGGGAAACTCTTACCTTATCCATCAGTCGGCTCCGCATATTCTTTAACCTTGTTTTGGCATGGCCTTTGGCCTAGAGGACAGGGAGATGTGATGAGGGGGCATGGACTAAAATGTGTGTATATGCGTGTGTTACTCACACACACACACACACACACACACACACACACACACAAAGAAACAGCAAACAAAGATATATGACAAAATGTTGTGAACTATAATCTCTGAAGGTTGTAGCTGGACCTTTCTAAGACTGGGGGCGATCGGGAAAAATTGAGAGCAGACTTCCAGATCAACTTTCTTTTTAAATAAAAGGAATCAAGTCCAGTAAGTGCCTTACATATCGGTATGCGTTCCTGACTGCTGGATTGGTCTTGTTTTTCATGGTACTGATCAGAGCTCCACCACCTTTCTGGGAAGAGAACAAAAAAAAAACACATCAGCTCAAAGCAATAAATTGAAAACACAGCCGTCCGCAACCAATGAAAAAGGAAAAAGAGGGTGGAAAAACTTAACAAGGTGGTCTGTATTAAAAGAAGAAGGTCAGCTGGTCAAAAGAAGGGATCTAGTTGTAGGTAAGAAGCTAGTTAGCTAACTTCAGAATTCAGCAAAAGCTGCAGCATTTTGCTTTTGCTTGAGTTTACTGGAAAGGGCAACATACTCCCCTTTTTTCTTCCTGCTGAGTTAACTGAGTGGAAATTTTGCATTTTGAACTCAGTTTGCCTCAAATGAAGAACGCTGAGGACAAAGCAGGAAACAGGGACATTTAAAAACACCTGCAACAGTAGGACAGAAGAGGATTAAAGAGGTCTTGTCCCTGCCAGATCAGTATAGTTGGAGCAGGGGTCCTCAAACTAAGGCCCGGGGGCCGAATACGGCCCTCCAAGGTAATTTACCCGGCCTTCGCTCAGGGTCAACCTAAGTCTGAAACGACTTGAAAGCACACAACAACAGCAACAATCCTGTCTCATCAGCCAAAAGCAGGCCCACACTTCCCATTGAAATATGTACTATATTTGTTGAAATTGTTTGTTAAAATTTGTTCAAATTGTTCATTTTAATTATTTTTAAATTATTTAATTGTTTTTAAGTGTTTTTTTTTGCACTACAAATAAGATATGTACAGTGTGCATAGGAATTAATGGTTTTTTTCCTCCAAATTATAATCCGGCCCTCCAACAGTTTGAGAGACTGTGACCTGGCCCTCTGTTTAAAATATTTGAGGACCCCTGAGTTGGAGGGTATGCAACTCCCATCAGTTTAACAGGTACAACCAATGATGAGGAATGCTAGGAATGGCAGCTCAATGACATCTGAAGGGCTGGATTAGCCCCTGTCCGTTTTCTCTAAATGGCCATCAAATTAGTAAAAGAAAAACCAATGACCGATGGCACTATCTTCTAGACATTTGAGACAGAAACCTATAAAAGATAAACACTCTGTTATGCTGAAGTGAGGAGCAACTGCAAGGGTTCCTCCTTTGCCTAAAGACCCCTTTCCATGAAGAAAACAAAGGAAGGAAACACACACTGGGCCTGAGCTTTGCCCAGAATACAAAAAGGCCTACAAAAAGGAAGGGGGTACATCTCCACAGTTTTACACCTTCTAAAGCCATTTCCATGAGCTAAGCGAAGTGTTAAGAATTGCTATTTTAATGTAAGCAGTCCAGAAATCTTTTAATAATAGGGCAGAGTATCATTATCTTCCTCATCCTCCCTTTTCGCTAGTCTTTGTCTCTTAACAGATACTTGGTTAGAAGTCCTAATTTAAGATGCTAGTTTTTATGCATGCCTCTCCAAAGAGGAGGGGCTATTTTAAATATATATATATATATATTTGTTTTGCTGTTGACTTATTTCCTCTTTATTGATCTTAAATAAATCTCTTATTATAAAATAAACCTCTTATTGTACATAATTTGGATTCTGGAAAGGACACAATAAATTGCTCACCCTAGAAGTGTTTTGTCCTCTGCAGAATCCAAATTACACATTCACATCTCCTACCAGTTTGGAGGGGGGGGGGGCATGGAAAGAGCCTCCTTGAAGACTGAGTAAATACAGTCGGGCGTCCCCTGGGCAACGTTTCTTGTAAATGGCTAATCTTTCCAACCCAAAGAGATTGCTTTTTATGCAATGCTTTTGACAAAAACAACAACAACAAAAAACAAACAAACCCCAGTTTGGATCTGTCTTCCTTTGGAAATGAGATAAATGCGGACAAAAAGATTAGATCCAGGCATGCAGCACATAAGAGATTTTCCTGCTCTCAAGTTGAAATACTACAGCTTTTAAAGTGCCTCTTGACTGACAGCCAGAGAGCATACATAGAAGGTTACGATATGTTCATGGAGCCAATGTGGTCTAGTGATTTGAGCACTAGACTTATGATTCCGTAGACCCAGGGTTCAAATCCCGGCTCAGCCATGAAAACCAACTGGGCAAGTTGCATTCTCTCCATCTTAGAGGAAGGCTACAGCAAATCTCTTTTGAACAAATCTTGTCAAGAAGCCCCTATGATAGGGTCATCCTTAGGATCTTCATAAGTTGGAAATGACTTTTAAGGCACACAACAACAAACCATTTGTTCATGGGAATACTACCAGAACATGCTTCAGTAGCATCCTTCATTTTAAGGCATTTTTTTTTTGTCGTGTCAGGAGCAACCGCTCCTGTTGTGAGAGAATTGGCCGTCTGCAAGGACGTTGCCCAGGGGACACCTGGATGATTTTTGATGTTTTATCATCCTTGTGGGAGGCTTCTCTCATGTCCCCGCATGAGGAGCTGGAGCTAATAGAGGGAGCTCATCCGCCTCTCCCCGGATTCAAACCTGCGACCTGTTGGTCTTCAGTCCTGCCGGCACAGTGCTTTAACCCACTGCGCCACCGGGGGCTCCTATTTTAAGGCATGATGTGTAGCAACTATGACAGTCTTAAATACAGATGCTGATTCACATTAAGAAAGCAAACCAGAAGATGCCTGTAGCAAGATCTCTCCTGAGGACTCCCTCCCAAAGTCATATAAGCTGACTCTATCCTTGTTTACTTTATCAGGCATTTGACTTTTATTTTGTGTCTCTCAAGAACATGTTCGTTTTATACTACACATTTACTGTACATTGTTTTGGTGGGCAGAATATTAAGTTGTAAATATTTTAATAAATAAAGAACCTGCAGTTGTTAAAAGACATCTGGCAGCAGAATGAGGTTCAACCACTTACCTTTAAGTTCTCCAGCCACAGGTGATAGGCATGCATGCTGCCTGGGGAAAAATATGTCACAAATGAGTAACTGCTAGGCAAAAATCTCTATCCCACAGAAGCTGGGTTGAGAATTGTATACTCAAGTTAGCAATATATATCTGGGAGTCGTGCGTAGAAAGTGTGCTACAGTGATTTGAGCATTTGTCTATGACTATGATGATCAGGACTGAAATCCTTGTTTGGGCATGAACTCCCATTGGGTGGTTCTGGGTAAGTCACACTCTCTCAGTCTCAGGGCGGTTCTACATTGACTTGTGAAGCGGACTCATTAATCTGATTTTTAAGATGGTTCTGTGGAACACTGTTTGGGAACCGCTGCCTTAGGAAACAAAGTACACAACAATAACAACATGTACAACAGGTTTCAGTATCTTAAGAAGAAACGAAAAGCTTTGAGCACACATCCTTTAGAGCAGCTTTTCTAAACCTGGGGGTCAGGACCTTTGGGGGGTCGTGAGGGGGGTGTCAGAGGGGTAGCCAAAAACCATCAGAAAACACAGTATTTTCTGTTGGTCATGGAGGTTCTGTGTGGGAAGTTTGGCCCAATTGTATCATTGGTGGAATTCAGAATGCACCTTGGTTATAGGTGAACTATAAACCCCAGCAACTACAACTCCCAAATGTTAAGGTCTATTTTCCCCAAACTCCACCAGTGTTCACATTTGGGCATATTGAGCATCCAGATTCATCACTGTTTGAGTCCACATCTCTGGATGTAAGTGAACTACAACTCCAAAACTCAAGGTCAATGCCCACCAAACCCTTCCAGTATTTTCTGTTGGTCATGGGAGAACTGTGTGTGCCAAGGTTGGTCCAATTCCATTGCTGGTGGAGTTCAGAATGCTCTTTGATTGCAAGTAAACTATAAATCCCAACAACTACAACTCTCAAATGACAAAATCAATCCCCCCCCCCCCAAGCCACCAGTATTCAAATTTGGGCATACCATGTATTTGTGCCAAATTTCGTCCAGTGAGTGAAAATGCATCCTGCATATCAGATATTTACATTACGATTCATAACAGTAGCAAAATTACAGTTATGAAGGAACAATGAAAATAATACTATACGTAATTGGGGGTCACCACAACATGAGGAACTGTATTAAGGGGTTGCAACAACAGGAAGGTTGAGAAACACTGCTTTGGAGAAAGTTACAGTGCAGATAGAAAATTTTAAACCCTGGACTACATTACCTTATAGCATCTCCCTTTAAAATAGTTAAGTCTGATATCTTAGCTGTGAAGCACACAGTATGTCTTACTCCCCCATCCCTGCCACCCACTCTTCCGCTCTATTTTAAACTTGCTTAATTTATAGCAGCATCATGACTACAGGAGCAGCTCAGAATTTGCTGGCTCAAGACTAACATGTTTACTTGAGGATAAGCACCATTCTGTCATAAAAATGTATATTAAAGCTGAACCCAACGAGAATGGCTGTCTGTAACCACATATGTATCCAGCCCTAGTCTTTTAATGTTTAAATGAGAGGGGGGGAGGATGCTTTAGCAACCAGCATCAGTCTCAACAGAACCTGCCATACTCCTGCTGGCCCATGCAGTGATGCGGGGTCCCTTTTTTTTGTCACTGACTTCCATTGCCAGTTGCCCTGTGGATACCACTGAGCCAGAAGCGACTTGCAGTTTCTCAAGTCACTCCTAACATGACAAAAAAAACAAAAAAAAAAAACAACAAAAACCACTGAGCAAGGAGACTTGTCTGTATGGGCTACGAACCTCGGACGTGTGATCCTGGGCAAGTGCATGCAGAACTATAGAGGATAATAATAATAATAATAATAATAATAATAATAATAATAATAATAATATAATAATAATAATTCAAACTACTCTGGCACTTCCAAATTCAGATTGACAGAGTTTTGGAGTACAATACTCCTGACCTCAAGATCGTGTTAAAAAACAAAGTATGGATTGTCGATGTTGCAATCCCAGGTGATAGGAAGATTGAAGAGAAACAACTGGAAAAGCTGACACGATATGAGGATTTAAAGATCGAACTGCAAAGACTCTGGAACAAGCTAGTCAAGGTGGTCCCACTGGTGATTGGCACACTAGGTGCAGTGCCTAAAGACCTTGGCCTGCACTTAAACACAATTGGCGCTGAAAAAATTACCATCTGCCAGTTGCAGAAGGCCACCTTACTGGGATATGCACGCATCCTTCGCCGATACATCACACAGTCCTAGACACTTGGGAAATGTCCGACGTGTGATCTAATACAACAGCCAGCAGAGTGATCTTATCTGCTGTGGACTCATCTTGTTGTGTTCCAAATAATAATAATAATAATAATAATAATAATAATAATAATAATAATAGTTTTATTTCTTGCCCACCTCTACTCATGGCTTGAGGTGGGTTACAGCATTACTAAAAACAAAAACAAACACACACATAATGAAGAGTTATCATTTGCAGGATTAAGAATTCCCAAACCTAGATGTTCTCACTTTTGATGTACTCACAAGTACCAATTTTTAGTTGTGTATGACACTAAAACACACAGCTCATTTTACTTCTTAACCATCTGTCTCTAGTCATACCTGAAGTTAGAGAATATCAGTTCCCCCCTTTTCCCTCCTTTTTTGGTGTTTTCATTAGTGCATTTTATGTAGCATTTCCTTCCCTCCCTTCTTTTCTCACTAACTCTTTTTGTTATACTGTAAATAACTCAGTTATGTTTAATAACATTATTTTATAAAGAGTAAAAAAGAAACTGGAATGGAGGTGTGGACATAAGATTAAAAATTACAGATTCAACTTGTCTAATTGGTCCAATTAATTTCATTTTTCCATGGCTTATATCTCACCCATGGCCTGTATTGTTTTGCTGAGCTATGCAAATTCTGCTATGCCAAAAATGCTGTAACTGCATTATTAGGTGCCCAAGGCCACCCCATCTGATGTTATGGCTACATCCTTGTAAACAAGAAAAGTCTCTGGCTAGGCAGTTCACCAGGAAACTATCCTGTCCCTACATTAAGTTCTGCACTTTATTTCTGACCTCATATCAGCACCTCGACACTTTTGACAATAGTATCCTCAGCCTGCGTTATTGTTTCTGGCACTTCTAAGGGCTCCTTTAATGAATTTATGAATTTGGCACGTTGAACCTGTACTCAGCTATGTTTTTTTAATCTCAGCCATTTGTCTTATGGTGTTGTTTTTATGACTGGCTTTGTTTTAATATTTTATTGATTGGTCTTAATTGTGTTTTTCTGTTTTATCTGTAATTTTTGGGGTTGTCCCTCTGTAAGCTGCACTGGGAGATGATGGTGGGGTATAAAATAACAACAACAACAACAACAACAACAACAACAACAACAACAACAACATTCTATATAGGGAAGAATTATCCTGTATGCATTAGATATTGCTTACATACACTTTGTCTGTCTGCATAACTCTATAGAATACTGATGCTTGGAATAAACCTTATCTATCTTGACCAGTTCTGTGAGCAAGTTGGATTGAAAGCAGTATTGAGTCCTGGTGGATCCTTTGGCCCAAAGGATTGTTTGTTCTTTGTATGCCTTTCTGCTCAGTTTGAGGGCTCATCCAAATATCGTGACCAACCTGGGAAGATAGGGCTGATACCTCTGTCCTACTCTAGAGGCGAATAACTTCCTTGGATTGCAGCTCCTCCAAATAGTTGGATGCCAACTGCTAAACTTATCAAGATGTGAAACTATCCCAATTCCTATCTCACTTGATTTTGTTCATGTGAAAAGTGGTAGTAGGGCTGGCCCTATCATTAAATGTATTTGTCTGTGGCACAATATATATATCGTGCCTGGTAGCAAACTGGCTGCCAGTTTGCTACCGGGCACAATTCAAAGTGCTGGCGTTAGCCTATAAAGCCCTAAACGGTTCTGGCCCTACTTACCTCTCTGAACGCATCTCCTCCTATGAACCAACTAGGACATTAAGATCATCTGGGGAGGCCCTGCTCTCAGTCCTCCCCTGTTGGGGTTCAGTCTGATCCTGATCTGTGTGAACAGGATTCTCTGATAGTTTTTCAAACTGAGCAAGCTCTCCCTGACTCTGACAGTGTGGAATCTGTTGTTGATGCAGAGGTCAGTGGGAATGAAAACGAAACCCAACAGTTAGAAGAGAATGTTTTGGAAGTTAGCCGTGATATCTCCCCACCTGGGCTTGATAATGAGGTCCGAAGAGAATAGATAGTGAGAGATAGATTTGTTTCCCAGTCTGTACGAAGGTCACAGCGCCTTCAGCAGAAAGAGGCCCAAACAGAAAAGTCAAGGGGCGTTTCTAAGAATAGCTTCTTTGGTTTAAGAGCATCCCTGCCGGGTGCTTCTTTAGGTCAAGCAACGTTCGGGACTGTGGCTGGTCTTGGCAGAATTCCTGTGTTCCATGGCCAGTAATCCCAGAGGCTTGTAGTTTCCAAGTTCATGGTTAGTAAAAGGCTAACAGACTCCTGGTTATTGTTTTGTGGCTTTTGAAGTTTTGCTCAAGTTCAGAGATCCTATTGACTACTGTGTTTTTCTGTGGCTTTTTTACTCTGCATTTACCTTTCTTTTGTAACCAATTTTTCATCAATAAACAAGGATTGCTTTTCCTACAGTCCAGAGTGGTGGATTTAATCTTATGGTCTTGTTTCTTGAACTGGGATGCAACAGTGCCATCACAGGCGCGCCTGGCGGGAACGAGAGACAGGGCCTTCTCAGTGGTGGCCCCTCGGCTGTGGAACGCCCTTCCTACAGATATCAGATCGGCCCCCTCCCTATTGGTGTTTCAGAGGAAAGTGAAGACCTGGCTGTTCGAACAAGCATTCGATTAAGCAGTGTAATGAATATAGGAACACGGAATAACGGATGATGAGTTTGGATTCTGATTCTACTGATGAGACGCTAATGATTTGTTATATTGATGTTTAATTGTTGATGATGCTATTGTTTTAACTGTCCCTTAATGGTTTTATGATGTTTTGCATTGAATTTTGCTGTTATTAACCACTTTGAGTCGCCTGAGGGCCGAGAAAAGCAATATTTAAATGAAGTAAATAATAAAAATAATAATAAATCACCAAGGAGCCCCTGGTGGCACAATGGGTTAAATGCTTGTACCAGCAGGACTGAAGACTGACAGGTTGCAGGTTCCAATCCAGGGAGAGCACGGATGAGCTCCCTGTCAGCTCCAGGTCCCCATGAGGGACATGAGAGAAGCCTCCCATAAGGATGGTAAAACATCAAAACATCTGGGCATCCCCTGGGTAACATCCTTGCAGACGGCCAATTCACTCACACCAGAAGTGACTTGCAGTTTCTCAAGTTGCTCCTAACACGGAAAAAACAAACATACCAAAAACAAAACCCAAGACTCTACCCTTGGAAGACAATCACACTTGTTTATGATATGATGATATGTTTATGATATGATGACTGCATATGATGATGATATATTACAAAACATTCTGGTTATGCACCATACTACCAACATACCTAAAATAAAAAAATAAATAATGTAGAGCATTTTTAAAATGCAGAAACAAAACAATAGGCTACTAAATGAAATGTCTGGCCAACCATAATACATAATGGTAGCTCCAGCAATGAACCCCTTTTGCACTCCACTAATGATGTCTTGAGGAATTTGCAGCCAATCTTTTGGGCTGTTACTGATGGCAACCTTCAATGTAGTGGGTTTTGAATGATCTGTCAACAGGTCACAAATTATATTACGTATTACATCCAAACAGCCCTTGCTTTCAAAAAGTCTCCCAAGAAATGATTCCTGGGGTTAATCAAAAATGGGTTTATTAAATAGTGCATCTACACTGTAGAATCAATGCAGTTTAGCATCATTTTAACTGCTACGCTCAATGCTACGGAATCTTGGGATTTGGTGAGGCACCAGCACTCTTTGGCGGGGAAGACTAAAGACCTTGCAAAACTAGAGCTCCCATGATTCTATAGCACTGAGCTGTGGCCGATGAAGTGGTGTCAAACTGCATTTGTTCTACAGCAAAGACAAACTCTAGGACTTCTGTGTCACCAAAGCCACAGATACATAGTCAATGAGTATGACTTTATAACTTCCCTTGAGACAAGCTGATAGCATTATTTGAAAATGGAGGGCTGTTTTGGATATTGTTGTTTCAAAAGAGGAGAAAACAGTGAGACATTTGAAAGAAATGCAGCAGATTGGGAATGATACAGAGCACAGTAAGTTGGAGAAAAAATTGACATGACTACATTGAGATTTTTTTTAAAAAAAAACCCTTACATTTGGAATCCTCTTTTAAGAGTTTCATAATTTTTGAGTTGTTTACTTTTTAAACATAACTTTTTATGGAGTCAATAAATAACAACCAAGGGGTAAGTATCACGTCGGCCATGGGACTGAATTCCGTGATTTGTTGTTCGCTCTCTTGCTGATCAGAGAAATGAAAACAAGTTGACATCTGCCTTACCTGGGGACAGGCTTTGATTGATCTCCTGCTCAAAGTGGTCAGAGAAGTCTTCCCCAGCATTTAGCTTCTGCAGGCGGTCTTCAATAAACTGACAGATGTTGAGAACATATGGAGGGTTGGGGGGAAGAGATCACAAAGAAGGGGACCAATTAGAAAGTGTGGAGAATCATCATCATCCATGGAAGAAATGTGCATACATAAGGTGAACAAGCCATGCGTGAATAGACAGGAAAGGGACAATTTTCCATTCCTTGGGGAAAGTAGTAGAGGTTTGATAGTGAGTTTTCAAACTGTGCAGGCAAGCATTAGAGGACATCTTAAGCAGGCTTTAACATAGAATCATAGAATCATAGAATCAAAGAGTTGGAAGAGACCTCTTGGGCCATCCAGTCCAACCCCCTGCCAAGAAGCAGGAATATTGCATTCAAATCACCCCTGACAAATGGCCATCCAGCCTCTGCTTAAAAGCTTCCAAAGAAGGAGCCTCCACCACACTCCGGGGCAGAGAGTTCCACTGCTGAATGGCTCTCACAGTCAGGAAGTTCTTCCTAATGTTCAGATGGAATCTCCTCTCTTGTAGTTTGAAGCCATTGTTCCGCGTCCTAGTCTCCAAGGAAGCAGAAAACAAGCTTGCTCCCTCCTCCCTGTGGCTTCCTCTCACATATTTTCTTCCTCTCTACATTTCGTAGAGTAGGACAAATTTGCCCATCCTCAAAATCTTACAAAAAAACCCCTTGCTGTGTGTGTGTGTATGTATATCCATATAAATAAAAATGTGATGTTAGTTTGTGGGATTAACATAACTCAAAAACCACTGGGTGAATTGACACCAAATTTGGACACAATATACCTATAAGGTCAAGGAGTGACCATCACTCATAAAAACACTGAAAAACACATGGAAGAGACTTAAAAAGCAAAAAACAAACAAACATTAGAACTCATGTGCAAAACCATATGTATACATGAGTTGGCTTCGGGCTGAGAACAGCGGTATATAAGCAAAGTAAATAAATAAATAAATATACACATATACACAAATATATACACACACATATATACACACACAGGACACACATACAGAGACTTGGCCACAGCAACGCATGGCAGGTAATGTTAGTTTGTGGGATTAACATAACTCAAAAACCATTGGACGAATGGGCACCAAATTTGGACACAATACACTTATCAGGCCAACGAGTGTGTTTGCGTGTGTGTGTGGGTATATGGTTTTGCACATGCGTTGTAATGGGTTTTTTTTTGGCTTTTTAAGTCTCTTCTGCTGAGTTTTCCAGTGTTTTTATGAGTGATGGTCCATTGTTGGCCTGATAGGTGTCTTGTGTCCAAATTTGGTGTCAATTCATCCAGTGATTTTTGAGTTATGTTAATCCCACAAACAAACATTACATTTTTAGGTTCTTGTGGGTTTTTTCAGGCTATAGGGCCATGTTCTAGAGGCATTTCTCCTGACGTTTCGCCTGCATCTTTGGCAAGCATCCTCAGAGGTAGGATGCTTGCCATAGATGCAGGCGAAACGTCAGGAGAAATGCCTCTAGAACATGGCCCTATAGCCCGAAAAAACCCACAAGAACCTAGGGATTCCAGCCATGAAAGCCTTCGACAATACATTAGATTTTTATATATTTACTAGCCATCCCCTGCCACGTGTTTCTGTGGCCCAGTCTGTGTATATGTGTTTTGTGTGTGTATATGTGTGTGTATATATTTGTGTATATGTGTAGATATGTGTTTGCATATATATGTGGTTTTGTGCATGTGTTGTAATTTTTAAGTCTCTTCTGTTGTGTTTTTCCGTGTTTTTATGAGTGATGATCACTCGTTGGCCTGATATGTGTATTTTGTTCAAATTTGGTGTCGTTTTTGTCCAGTGGTTTTTGCGTTATGTTAATCCCACACACGAACATTACATTTTTATTTATATAGATATATATATACACACACACATACAGAAGAACAGAAAATGAAATAATTACAGCTACACCACAGAACCCGGTGGATGAAGGTTTCAAAGAGAAATGTGTGTAAAAAGGGTGAATTACGGTGCAGAGAAGGCAGTGAGCGAACAAGATATATGGGACTCCGCTGTAAAAAGATGTCAAAATAAATCAGACGAGCAGATATGTGACCTTTGCATTTTACATTTAGAGAGTGCAACTGAATCCACTTCATATGTGTGCGTATGAGTGTGTACAATGGTGGAGAATTAAGGCAGCAGCATTATCTGCCTCCCCCTCAAGATTCCTGTTCCCTTCTCACAGCAGATGGGGGTGTGTAAAAATACATTTTCCCAGCATGACTATACTACTGTGTGCATGCAAAAGCAATATGCTCCTGCTTTTTTTTTTTTTTGTAATACAGCATTTGTGGGAGGAAGATAGCTTCAGATGCATGATTGCAATCCAATTTACATTTTAAAGAACCCTAATGGTAGAAATAGTAACAGATGGATTGGGTTTGACAAGCGCCCTACATCTTCAGATTCTCCCCAGAGGAATCGCTATGTGGGAAATCTACAATCAAAATCTACTTGCACACCCACAGTGTGTGTTTGTGTAAGCTGGGATGTAAAGGTTTTTTACTTCAAGGAGCAAGGAGCAGAACATAGCATTGTGTTCCTTCCTTCTTTCTGACACCTTTAAGAACCTGGATTTAAATGTTGTTTTCCTTTTCCCACCCTCTTTTCTTTCATATGTCTCTGGACTGCAAGCAGGAAGGCAAGACAGAAGCCGAGCATGCCCCCCCCCCCCAAACAAGGGATGGTAACTTATAGTTCTGCAAAGGACAAGGTTAACAGACTGCACAATAGGGGTTAAGTTTTGGTCAATTTGCCAAGATACTAACAACAATGAGGACCCCACGAGACTTCGGGAACGGCTAGACCTTGGGGTCTCTGCCTCTCTCGAGAGAGCTGTAGTTTCCCCAAGGACCAAGGACCTGCTTCGTTCTCAGCTCTGCAGAACTCCATCCTTTGGCTCAGTGGAACTTCATTGTTTCTTTGCATGTTTCTGCCCCTATTCTGGGGCAGAAACATGCAAAGTTTCTGCCAGTATTCTGGACTTCACTTTCCCCAAGGGCTCACTCGTTGCCCATGAACTTTCTTCAAAAAACAACCTAAGAATTCATGCTGTGTCCTGATATCATCTGCTTTTTATAATTGGTATTATTAATTCCTCTCTGGGGTCCTGGATGGGAAGATACCTGCATATGATTTCCCTGTGTATAATTTCTATATGATTTTTATGTTTCCTTGTATTCCTGACCCTAGCCTGACCCTTTGCCCCTGTCTCCCTCCAAAGAAATATGTAAGGGAACCACCTGGCCTTCAGAAACAAAAGCCATTAGTGATTACTGAAACCTCCAGCCAAAGACACACTTGCATGGATAATAGAAGGAGATTCTTATCTCTAGCATCGGAGATGGCCCACTAGAGTAAAGAATTGTTTGGCAAAGTTTCTATCACTCTTCAAGTAAGATAAGGGGAAATCTTCCCCTCTGCTTTTTGTTTACTTCCCATTGATAGCATTAACCCCAGGCTGCCCTCATTGTTCTCCTGTCTCACAGCCAGGAAGGATCTGGATATTTTTACACATGTTGATTCACAACACTCAAAACACAATAGGTCAGCCCTGCTTGAGCTTTTTGTCTCGCAGGCCACATGGCATTTCCTTTTTTAAACACTCATTCACAGATTCCTTTGTGTTCTATCGTCCTGCCTCCCTCTCTCCTGATTTGCTGTCAGCGCCAGGTGGTAGAGGTCTCCCCATTGGATCCTACGGACCACTGGAGCTTCCTGATTGGTCCAGAGGTGCCGGGGGCGGGAGGGCCACCTCCCAGCTGTTTGCCCATCGTCCAATCACGGTGGATGGAGGCTGGGGCGGGAAGTTTGAACTCTGCAACTTTGAATTTACAATAAATATGACTGCATTGGTGTATTCTCTTCATGCTTTGTAGGCAAATTATTGCTACATAACATCTTTTTCAGCTGAATCGCTAATAAACACCTCAGTGCCGCTTCTTCAACTTTGGTGAGCTTTATTCTGAATTTTTAATCTAAATAAATTGCTGAAATCAGGTTTCTCTGACTCGCCAAAGTAGCGAACCCTTCTTGGTGGGGTCTTAAAGTCCCTCCTCCTGGGGAAGACCCTCCTAAAGCTCCTATCAGCTTCAAGACTGTCTTAGTTTTTCAAAATAAATAAAATAAATATATATATATAAGTTATTCTGAAAACCTTCCTAACTGTAAAGGCAGTCCCTGAGTTATGAACATGTGACTTACATATGACCTAGTTACGAACGGACCTCTTCCCTGCCTGCCTGCTATGAAATCATAGTGCCGAGCCAAAACACATCTGTATCTCTCCATCCCCTTTCCTTTCCCCTTCATTTTTATATCTGTCCACCATCTTTCCTTTTTCCTTCATATCTATATCTCTCCACCTCTTTCCTTTTGCCAAAACAACAACAACAACAACCAAAATAAAAACAAAGCTGGGTGATAGTATGATAGCTGGGTCCAGAAGCTCTGAGCATTAGGGAGATGCTGAAAAGGCGGCTGTGAATAAGGGAAGAGAGAGGGTGGAGTGAGAGCGGGGAGAGCGAAGGAAGGATAGAAAGGAGGGGATGCTTAGGGTAAGGGTTAGGGCAAGTTTTAGAGTTTGGGTTTGGGTTAGAGTAAGGGTTAGGGGTTACGGTAAAGGTATGGTTTAGAGTTAGGGTAAGATTTAGGGTTTGGGTTAGCATAAGGGTTAGGATAAGGGTTAGGTTTCACCATTGAAGAACTCTTACATTCCTTCTATATTATCTGTCTCTGGCCTGGCTCACATTAGCTAAGTCGTTCTTGCGCAAACAGCACTTCCGAAGGAGCGATGCAGCATTTCCGTAACACCCAGAGCTTCTGGACCCACTTATCATACTATTACCCAAAGATGTGTGCTTAAAGGTCTTTGTGAGTGAAATAGTCCTTACCTCTTTGAATAGCTGCAGGTGAATGGCTCTCTGGAGGAAGGCCTGCATGGCATTGGATCCTTGCTGCAAGAAGCTCTCTTTGCAAAAGGAGATGGGCTCTCCCTGCAGTGAAAGAGAAAATGAGATTGCCTAAGAGGTGGTACTATGTATCACCACTATGGAAAGGCATAGGTTCTCAGGTCCATTCTGCACTGCTATATAATCCATTTTTTCAAACCAGATAATCCAGATTATCTGATTTGAACTGGATTATTTGAGTCTACACTGCCATATAAACCAGTTCAAAGCTGATAATCGAGATTTTATGTGGCAGTATAGAAGAGGGCTGAGAGACAGAGCAACTGGTAGCATTAGTTTTTGCACACTAAGTGTGGCATGCACCAGAATTTCCCAAATTGTGCTCCTCCTGATATTTTGGACCTCAGTTCCCACAATTCATTACATCTGGTAAATAGGCTGGGATTTATGGGAGCTGAAGTTCAAAACACTTGGAGGAGCAAAGTTTGAAAAACACTAGCATACATTCATAGAATTCAAATGCATCTATACTGTAGAATTAATGCAGCTTGACTCCATATTAATGCTATGGATCCATCTATAGAATCATGGGAGTTGTAGTTTTTCAAGGTATTTAGCCTTGTCTGCCAAAGAGTGCTAGCGCCCCACCAAACTACAACTCTCAGGATTCCATAGCACCTTGGCGGTTAAAGGGATATCCAACTACATTAATTTTACAGTATAGATACACCCTGGGTCTGTTTAATCTGATGCATCTGCCTGCTTTGCATATCTATCAGACTATCAAGGTCATGTCTTTGAATGTCGTCATCTAGATCAAGGCTTTTTCCACTCCTGACCTCTTTCCATCTTCGAAATGTTTACGTGACCCCAGTTACATAGATATTAAAAAACAGGTACAAAATCAAAACTTTACTGATAATAAATCAACATTTGCAAGGCTTACACTGATTTTCCCTTTTTATGAAGTAGAGCTGAAGCGTTTTCTGCAGAGTCTACTGTAAGTACAGCATGTTGTTGCTAACAGACTCATGTAAATGTCTAGATAGCATTCAGAAACCCTTTACTGTTGCCATTTTTTGTGAGCCCAAAATGAGCTAAGGGGATCCCATTTGGGGTTGAGACCCATGGTTTAAGAAGCAGTGAACTAAACCAGTTCCCAAACTGAGTTCCATGAAACCCTAGGATTTCGCAGAAACATCTTAAAAATCAAATTTAAAACCAATTTTAAAATAACACCACATGAGGTCAACTATTTGAATCTCCATGATAGCTTATGGTTACCCCATGAATTTCATAGGGTTTTCTTAGGGAAGGAATACTCAGAGGTGGTTTTCCCAGTTCTTTTGAAATGCAGCTTATAGCAACTAGTATTTGTTGACAGGCTTCCATCGAAGTGGTCTTCAGAGCTGATCTCATTACTTTCCAAGATCAGACTGGACCGTGTAACTTTAGGATATTTAGGCTCTACAGCCAAGACACTTACTGGGTTACAAACAAGTGCCTCACGGTAGCCACCGAACAAGAGTGCCTGTGCCCTGAGGAAGGCTCGGGCAACACCATCCCCAGTGGTTGCTGACTGTTTCTTCAACTGGAACTTCAGAAGGGAGACCTGAGTAGGGAGAAGGGTAGAATAATAATAATACATAATAAAACTTTATTTGTATACCGCCCTGTCTCCCCAAGGGGACTCAGGGCAGTTTCCAACATATAAGGCAAAACGTTCAGTTGCCAGAAAGGAAAACCATACACACAAATTAAAATAAATATCATAAAACATAAAATCCTACTAAAACATAAGTAAAATTTCTTTAAAAATCAATTACAGTCAGGCACAAAATCCCAATGGCCAGAATTACAAAATAGATCTGTAAAAGGACTGGGCAAGGGATAGTGCAATAGTGTATCATAGGGCTGGGGAAATGGATAAAGTGCAGAACAGAGTACTATTTGATGACCTAGGGAAGGGCCTAGGCTGATTAATCATTGTCGAAAACTTACTGGAACATCCAGGTTTTCAGGTCCCTACGAAAGGAGGACAATGTGGGGGCTTGCCTAATCTTCCTGGGAAGAGAGTTCCAGAGCTGGGGGGCCACCACCAAGAACACCCTCTCCCTCATCCCCATCAACTGTGGAAGCAAGAGGAGGGCATCCTCAGCAGAGCCCATGCCGGTTCATAGGGGAAGATGTGATCACAAAGATAGGCAGGACCTGATCCATTTAGGGCTTTATAGGTCATAATCTGCACCTTGGATTGAGACCAGAAACTTACTGGCAGCCAGTGGAGCTGCTTTAGTAGGGATGTCATGCACTCCCTATAGTTAGTTCCAGCTAGAATACAAGCTCACCCCTGATCCATGTGCCATTTCAAACAAAAGACTTCTTCAAGTTTGTATTTTCCCCAGGAAACCCAAGTAAGCAGCAAGAGCAAGAGATCCTATCCCCCATATGTCCTATAATTTTGGCATTCTTCCAACTATTCTATGATTCTGTGATCTCAGATTAAACCCCTAGCATTTACAGGTAATTGAAGCTGACCTTGGATGGCTTCTGAAAGTACTTCCTTCCGAACTGAGCTACCAGGTTATTAAGAACTAGGCATGGGCAATCCATGGTTCTAAATGGTTCTAAAGTACTTACAAACCTAGGGGGCATTGGTGCTTTGATTCTACAGTGTTTCTAAAGTTCTGGTGGTGAAAATTTCAGAACTCTAACAAAACTATCAAAATTTCATTATTATTTTATTATTGGCGATTTTTATGACAGAACCAATTAGGAACTGCCATTTATAATGAAATTTTGAAAGTTTTGTTACAGTTCTGAAATTTTCACCACCAGAACTTTAGCAACACGGTAGAAGCAAAGCACCAGCACCCTCCAGTTTTGTAAATACTTTAGAACCATTAAGAACCATGGATTGCCCATGCCTATTAAGAACCTTCTATGACAGCCAGGCAGAACAACAACAAAATCTTTTTGATACGTTTATAAAATTCAGAGAAATTCAAGAGAGCTTTCCCAGACTTGAGCAATGGTCACAGTGTTGGAAATGAAGAGAGATGTAGTCCAACGCGTTTGGAGGGCACTGGATTGGGAAAAGTTGCTATAAGAGCAATGTACTTTCTTTATTTTGCTGCCAGGTGAGACAACACTCAATTATAAGTCACTTAATATCAACCTGAGTTCCACTATCTGCTTGCTGTGCATTAAAGAAAGAACACTTCAGGACTTATTTCATATTCTCAGAATTCAAATGGGACTGAAGTATTTCGTTTTAGTGTATACAAACAGTGTGTTTAAGATATTACGTTCTCTCAATTTATTATTGTGTTCATTGTATGGGAGTTGCACTGCAATCAAAATGACATTAATCTTGAGAAATGTATCTAGACCAGCTTTAAACCTGTTTTAAGTGACTGAACTGGATACCGGACTATGTTTAGAAATGACTAAACATTGTACAGGAGATATAAAAAAGATAATTTATGAGGCAAAACTGAACTATACTTATGCAAAAATAAACTCCTGGAATCAACTCATACCTGCAAACTGATCACAATTTTCACAGACTGGCGGAATATGTCAACAATTTAAGTAGGACAATTCATCATCTAATTTTGTTGCTTTTTTTGTCAAAAGGACTTCAGTAGATTTGTAAATGTTTTTAAAAACAAGTTAAGAAAAGCAATACTCACTATATCACTTGGGAGGCTTTCCAGGTCTTGGAAGGGTGACTCCATGGTGTTGCTATCAATGTTGAGAATGACGACATCTTCCAGGGCCTTGCTCCTCACTCTCTACAGATATTAAAGAGAGAAATAAAGAAGGGAAAGTGCTTGCTTGTTTCTCCAGTTGTGGAAAGCCTCTGTTACTCATAAAGATGAGCTCATCGTACATAGGATTCTTCAACCACCCTTGTGCTTTCCCAGTTTGAGCAACTCCACTCACATGAAAAAAACCAAAAGGGGGAAAGGTCCCAAACAGGGCCATGTTCCCAAACCTGTCTGCTGTGAAGACATGAAGTCAATCTCACCCACATGATGTAAGTCTTGCTCAAGTAAGACCAGCTTTAAATGTGAAACATAACCCAAGTAGCTGCTTTGGGACAATAGAAATGTTCTAGAGATATCAAAGAAGCAGCTTGCAATGTGAAAGGTATTTTCCCCTGCCTTGCCTCTGCCAATTGTTGGCTAAGTACGAGAGTTGAACGAAAAGTAATGTCTCCACCTTCGTAACTCCTCAACAGATGGCAGTACTGGTATGCGGCAGGTACTGGCTTGTTCAGTAGACTCTCCTCTACAGTTCCATGTTGATGGGAAGCCTTAGCATTGAACGGTTGTGCTGTTAAAGTGCGAAGTATGAAACCCTGTGCAGACAGCTGGTCAAAGCGACTTAAACAATGTGCAGTCATTGAATTCTTGCCAGCAGAAGGTGTCACCCCAAAGGAGATTCATCAGAGAATGCAAGCTGTTTATGGGGATTGTGTTGATGTGGGTACTGAGCGTCGTTGGGCGAGTAAGTTTAAAGATGTTGAGGTGGGAACATCTGACTTGCGTGACAAACAAAGAGATGGATGTCCTGTGACAGCAACCACACGTTTCACAAGCAAAAGTTTGACAGATTGGTTCAGGATGATCATCGTATCACTCAGAGAGAAATTTCAAGCATTATCAGCATTTCTCAAGAACGTGTGGGTCACATTATTGCTTTGCTTGGGTATTGGAAGATCTGTGCACAATGGGTTGCAGAAACAGAGTGTTGACTTCTTCCGTGACAGCTTTAGAAAACTTGTTCGTCATTGGCAGAAATGTATCTAATTGTCTGGTGATTATGTTGAAAAGTGAATAGTGGCAGTTAAAGAGCACAATCTAAGGATTATTTCTGCGTTTGCTATATTAAAATATTCCCATCCAAACCCAAGTAATGAAAGTGGAGGCATTACTTTTCATTCAACCCTCGTAGTACTCAGCTTGTCTGTATTAACTAGACTCTTGTATTTACCTCTACTCCAGCTGTGTGGTGCAATTCTGTTTGGTTGGATAGACCTTTGAAGGACTCACAAATTTAGTTTTCCTGAAAAGTAAATTTGGTCTTGGCTCACCTTGTGTTTCTTTAATAAACCTCATCATTGATACCCAGTGAGCACTGGCAAATGACAGACTGCCCTAGTGCCCTCAAGGACTGGTAGGTGTTGAGACACACACATACCAATGCTTCCAAGATGAAGTAATATCCAATTTCATTCTCATCAGCTGATTGTCATCTGCTGGTGAAACTTGACTGTCATCAAACGAGTGCAGCTTGGGTGGACATAAAGGCAAAAAGTGGCCTCTACACCAGTATTTCTCAACCTTCCTAATGCTGCGTTTTATTGAATTTTAAATTAGTAGGGATTTTATATGTTGTTTTATGGAAATATTGTCATGTAAATTTGCCTTATTATTTATATGTTTACCTTGCTGTATTTTGTACATTGTTGCACTATTGCAGTGGTTCTCAGCCTTCCTAATGCTGCAACCTCTTAATAAAGTTCCTCATGTTGTGGTGACCCCCAACCAGAAAATTATTTTTGTTGTTACTTCATAAGTGTAATTTTGCTACTGTTATGAATCATAATGTAGGTATCTGATATGCAGGAAGTATTTTCATTCACTGGACCAAATTTGGCACAAATACCCTATACGTGAGGTTGGGAGGGGGGATTGATTTTGTCATTTGGGAGTTGTAGTTGCTGGGATTTATAGTTCCCCTACAATCAAAGAGGATTCTGAATCTCACCAATGATGGAATTGAACCAATCTTGGCATACAGAACTCCCATGACCAACAGAAAATACTGGAAGGGTTTGGTGGCCATTGACCTTGAGTTTTGGAATTGTAGTTCAACTACATCCAGAGAGCACTGTGGACTCAAACAATGATGGATCTGGACCAAACTTGGCACGAATACTCAATATGCTCCAATATGAACACTGCTGGAGTTTGGGGAAAATAAACCTTGACATTTGGGAGTAGTAGTTACTGGGATTTATAGTTCACATACAATCAAAGAGCATTCTAAACCCCACCAAGGTTAGAATTTGGCCAAACTTCCCACACAGAACCCCCATGACCAACAGAAAATACTGTGTTTTCTGATGGTCTTTTGGCGACCCCTCTGACACCGTCTCACAACCCTGAGGTTGAAAAACACTGCTCTTCACTATTTTGGGCTCTTAAGAATTAGAAACAGTTATAACTTCAAAAGATCTAGGAGGAGGATTGGCTTGCAAACTCACCTCCATAAGACTGGTGTGGACTCCTATGAGGTAGGGCATGGGGGCACTGTTGAGGAAGAAAAGGTAAGTCAGTGCTAGCAAAACTACTTCTCCATCATCTCTCCACATTTGTGGGTTTAACTTTTGCAGATTTGATTTATATATTCTCTAGGAATCTCTGGGTCTTCCTGTGTGAGTATAGGTGGAAGGAGTGGTGGAGGACTTAAAGATTCCTAGAGTATTCCTTCAGTCCAATTCCATAGTCAGCATCTTGTGTGCTGGAGGTGCTTTCTAGAAAGGACTTATCTGAGGCAAAATGGTTTTTTTTGAAAAGAAAAATCATGTTTTTTCCCCTATTATTGCAGGATTCTTATACCTCTAACTGCCACAATAGTGGATTGCCTACTGGATGAGTGTATACTCACACACACTTCAGATGTCCAGAGGTCCTTAGGCTGAGAAGCATTTGAGGTCAGTACAGTTCCAGCTGGCCCTGTATAGACTCAGCTGGGCATGGCAAGATTGATAAGTTGTTTATTTTAAATATTATATTTCAACCCATTTTCTTAATCAAAAAAGGAGATGCGACTATTACACGATGAAAAAAAATCTGCCTTTGATTCTCTGTTTTCTGATTTGTTTCTATTTCTAAAAAAATTAACTGCCTTATTTCTAAGACAGGCGGAAGAGGAGGGATGAACCAGACTTGAACACTTCTGTTTCTACTTGTTTGTTTATTTCTACCTTCGAGAAAGAAGGGAGAAGGAGGGAGGAGGGAAGATTCCATTTCCTTTCCTCCTTTCTCTAAAGGCAAGGCAGTTTACAAAATCTGAAATGGAGAAAAGAGGGAAGATACGAGTTTCAGAGAGACCAATTTCAAGTTTTTTAAAAGTGCCTTAAGGTGTTGGAGGAAGGCGGGAAGAACGAAGCTCCTGAGACTCCATTTTTAAGCTGCCTTGACTTTGGAGAAAGAAGGAAGGAAAGAAAGAAGGAAAGAAGGAAAGAAGGAAAGAAGGAAAGGAAGGAAGGAAAGAAGGAAGGAAAGAAGGAAGGAAAGAAGGAAAGAAAGAAAGAAAGAAAGAAAGGAAGGAAGGAAGGAAGGAAGGAAGGAAGGAAGGAAGGAAGGAAGGAAGGAAGGAAGGAAGGAAGGAAGGAGAATTAGCTCCAAATGGCTCTGGGACTATTATGCGATAAACTCAAAAATACAAATTTTGCCACCCAAAAATGGGGATGTCACTATTACATGGTAACAACTATTATGCAATGAAATGCTGCATATTGCATCACCAACACTCACCAACAATAGTCCAGGAGATGGGAGGGCAATGCAGGGATGTAGATGTGCTGCCAGTGCATGGGGTACAACATTAAGGAAGAGGCCTGCACACAGGCGGTGAGCTGCAGTGAGACAGAAACAGGCCTTTGGTTAGATGACGCTTCAAAGATGGAGTAAGGATCAAATTGGAGTGTTCCAGGTGCCTATTAGTTTTGTGCACTACATCCTTGATTTATATTAGCATAATTCAAGATAGCTCTGTTACAATACCTTGAGCCATCTTTGCTGTCACCCTTGTCCTATTTATTTATTATTTATTTACTGTATTTGTATACCGCCCCTCTCAGCCCTCAGGCAACTCGAGGCGGTTTACATGGCAAAATTCAATGCGGCAAAGCATAAATACAATTTAAAAACCTTAACATACATAAAATCATAACAGCAATAAAACATAAGTCATTAGTAAATCCTTATTAAAAACATTTTCCAGTCCCATCGTATGGTTATACCATTGTTCTATGTCTGCTACTTTGCATTTGCAAATGCTTACTCGAAAAGCCATGTCTTGAGTTTTTTTCCAAAATATTAAAAGGGAGGAAGCTGATCTGATATCCCTAGCGAGGGTGTTCCACAGTCAAGAGGCAAGCATCAAGAAGGCCCTGTCTCGTCCCCGCCAGGCATACTTGTGACAAAGGCGGGACCGAGAGCAGGGCCTCCCCAGATGATGTTAAAGTCCTCATAAGGTTCATAAGGGGAGATGCATTTGGACAGGTAAGTTGGGCCAGAACTGTTTAGGGCTTTATAGGCCAAAGCCAGCACTTTGAAATGTGCCCAGTAGCAAACCGGCAGCCAGTGGAGCTGGTGCAACAGGGGAGTTGTATGCTCCCTAAGAGCTGCTCCTGTTAGCAATCTGGCTGCCATCCATTGGACCAGTTGAAGCTTCTGGACAGTCTTCAAAGGCAACCCCACGTAGAGCAGGTTGCAGTAGTCTATATGGGATGTAACCAGAGCGTAGACTACTGTGGCCAAGTCAGACTTCCCAAGATACGGGAGCAGCTGGTGCACAAGTTTTAACTGTGCAAATGCTCCCCTGGTCACCACTGAAACCTGGGGCTCCAGGCTCAGCAATGAATCCAGGATTACACCCAAGCTGTGAACCTGCATCTTCAGGGGGAGTGTAACCCAATCCAACACAGGCCATAACCCTATGCCCTGTTCCCAGGGCTCAGGCATCTTCTCAGGAGGAGAACTATAACCTTAAGTTAGGAAACCATATTCCAAAGGGAGTGGAGCAGTGTTTCTGTGTGTGTACAGGCTGATTTCACTTCTGCCGGTGTTAGCTTTTGCTTAGCTACACCTAGAATTGTCAAGTCAGGACAATCCAGGCCCTGAAACCTAAGGACTTTATGGTATCCTAGGAGGTGGGGCTCGGTGATGTTACAAGAATGATACTACAGCTGTTGCATGGAGTATGCATATTAGAAAAATATATACAATGCACTCAGTGTTACATAAAAGATCTGTTCCAGAACACTTTGCATAATACGATTTTTGCATAATTTGTTTTTCTTAACTGAAATGAACCCTGTTTTTTCTTAACTGAAACTAACAATGTCTTGATCTTCAAGATGAAGCATGCCATAGAATAGCTCTGTATGACCTAGAAAATATTTCACGATTCTATGGTCAATTCCTATAGAAGTTGCACTAGAACCCTAGAGAGAACACTTATCTAGGAAATGCTAGGTCCTCCAGAGCAATTCTGCAGTATTCAAAACTCTTAATGTATAAATGATGTGGATGGCAAACTCAGCTCAGAAATAATCTTTGCCCTTCTATGTCTTTTGCTGCATTTGGAACCAGCCATGAGTCACCATGCACCGTCATGCTCTTCATTTAGTTAAGTAGCATTAGATCCTTTCCTGTCCTACTAGACAGCTGTCCAACCAAACTCCTAGTCTCTGCCCCTTTGCCTTCTGAACTTGAGCTTTGAGAGCAGCTCTGTTGGCCCCCAGTGTATAAAAAATCCCACTTTATTTATATTCTGTTCTATCTCCCTGAAGGGACTCAGGGTGGATTCCAAACATAAAAAAATATTCAATGCCTGAATACAACAACAGTACATCCATACTAACAAACTAACCCAACATATAAACACAAATTATAACGTAACAAACTGAAATTAAATAAAAAAACACAGCCTGTTATAACAGACATAAAACAAAATGTTAAACATTGGATGGAAACAATAATTTCCCATGTCTTTTGTCTGCTCCCTTGCTCTCACCGTGCTCAGCTTGTTGGTGGTCAGCAGGATCCGTCTCTCATGGAGCAGGCTTGCATATAAACGCAGCATGTTGTTCACATCCACAGCCACAACAAACTCTGTCAGGTTCCTCTGGTGTGGTTATAGCAAAGCATTCACATATTTATTTATTGAAACACACATATACCACCCTCATATCACAAGATTTCTGAATGATTTACCAACACATCAATTCAAACAGCAAGGGGTTATTTTCAGCAGTCTAAGAGCCCTTCCACACAGCCATGTAACCCAGAATATCAAGGCAGATAATCCACAATATCTGCTTTGAACTGGATTATCTAAGTCAGGGGTCCTCAAACTATGGCCCGAGGCCGGATACGGCCCTCCAAGGTCATTTACCCGGCCCTTGTTCAGGGTCAACCTAAGTCTGAAATTACTTGAAAACACACAACAACAACAATCCTATCTCATCAGCCAAAAGCAGGTCCACACTTCCCATTGAAATACTAATAAGTTTATATTTATTAAAATTGTTCTTCGTTTTAATTATTATATTATTTTAAGTGTTTTTTGCACTACAAATAAGATATGTGTAGTGTGCATAGGAATTAATTCTTCTTTTTTTTCCAAATTATAATCGGGCCCTCCAACAGTTTGATGGACTGGCCCTCTGTTTAAAAAGTTTGAGGACCCCTGATCCACACTTGTATATAATCCAGTTCAATGTGGATTTTACATAACTGTGTGGAAGGAGCCTAAGAGTGTATTAAACCAACTAGAAATCTAAATCAAAAGCACACCTAGATATGCTTTCCATGTTCTGTTCCACCAATAACCAAACAATGCATTTTCAGTCACCACCAGTTACTTGTTATCTCCTGTATTTCTATCAAAGTGCAACATAATAGCAAGAAATGAGCAGAAAAATATTTCCCTACTAGAAACTTGCTGTCTTATAGTACTGACTATAGGGTTCAAACCACCTTAAAGTATCGATCTTCTCTTTGAAGATTAGAATCATAGAATCATAGAGTTGGAAGAGACCATCCAGTCCAACCCCCTGCCAAGAAGCAGGAATATTGCATTCAAATCACCCCCGACAGATGGCCATCCAGCCTCTGTTTAAAAGCTTCCAAAGAAGGAGCCTCCACCACACTCCGGGCAGAGAGTTCCACTGCTGAATGGCTCTCACAGTCAGGAAGTTCATGTTCAGATGGAATCTCCTTTCTTGTAGTCTGAAGCCATTGTTCCGCATCCTAGTCTCCAGGGCAGCGGAAAACAAGCTTGCTCCCTCCTCCCTGTGACTTCCTCTCACATATTTATACATGGCTATCATATCTCCTCTCAGCCTTCTCTTCTTCAGGCTAAACATGCCCAGCTTTTAAGCCGCTCCTCATAGGGCTTGTTCTCCAGACCTTTGATCATTTTAGTTGTCCCCCTCTGGACACATTCCAGCTTGTCAATATCTCTCTTCAACTGTGGTGCCCATACTCTTCAATAAGTGCATTCTTGTTGCCACACCATAGCAATTGAAGTGGTGTCAAACTGCACTCATTCTGCAACGCATCCCTTCTTAACAACATGATGTGCCCAAATTTGGGATTTGATTTGAACCAGGCCTAAATTTCAAAATCCATTTCCGGTACGGCCTCTGAGCATACAGATAATGGTTTCCACAACAAAATAATCACATTTATCCACATGTTTGTGACTTTAAAATTGTAATTTTCACAGCAAAATTATAATTTTGACGCTTCTTCCTTGAGAGGTGAAATACCATTCATACTGATCTCAACCTTCTACTCCAACACCTTACAATAAAATCAAAACTGTATGTCTTACATTTTCAGGAATGGTGGGTAGTTTACCATGGCCTGGAGCAAGGAAATAAGCCTGCAACAGAGAAGAAAGGCAAAATCAGTCCTTTTTGGAAGGGTTTGTGTAAGAGTGAAACAGAATGGCTGTTGGAATGTTGGAAGCAGTCATATTATTTATTGACGATATTTCTATCCTGCCTTTCTCAAGCTCGAAGGCAACTCAAGGCGGCTTACAAATTGGCAGCAATTTGATGCCATAACAATCCACAATATACAATTAAAACGTGTAAAACAGCATTATAAAATAAATATAAAATCAATACAATACAAAAACCATTAAAAACATATAATAACCAATGTATTCCTGTTAATCTCACTTTCCAGTAGCATTGTCTAAGCTGTTCAATGTTTCAAACTTGTTCAAAAAGCCAGGTTTTTACTTTTTTTGGAAGGTCAGGAGGTTGGGGGCTGATCTAATATCCCTAGGAAGGGAGTACCACAGCCAAGGGGCCACCACTGAGAAGACCCTGCCCCTCGTCTCTACCATATGCACCTGCTAAGAAGGTGGGATTGAGAGCAGGGCCTCCCCAGATAATCTTAAATTCCTAGATGGTCCATAGGGAGAGATACGTTCGGACAGGTAAGCTGGGCTAGAACCATTTAGGGTTTTATAGACTAACGCCAGCACTTTGAATTGTGCCCGAGTCTTCAGGGTAGCAGAAAACAAGCTTGCTCCCTCCTCCCTGTGACATCCTCTCAGATATTTATACATGGTTATCATGTCTCCTCTCAGCCTTCTCTTCTTCAGGCTAAACATGCCCAAGTCTTTAAGACGCTCCTCATAGGCTTGTTCTCCAGACCCTTGATCTTTTTAGCCACTCTCCTCTGGACACATTCCAGCTTGTCAATATCCCTCAAGGTTGAGAAGGATGGGGTACAAATGTGGTAAGTGAGTAAGCAAGTAAACAAATAAATAGAAAAACGAAGAAAATATCTGGGAATCATTTGTTTTAGCCTAATATGATAAACCTGTGGAACTCACCAGTGCTGTTCCAGGATCCTGGCTCCTGCCTTCCTTATTCCGATCCTTCTCCGTGAAAATTTTCAATTTGGTAAGTTTTGGGTCCTTAGATGACAATCAAATACATGATTAGAAAGGAACTCAGAAAGATCTGGTGGTCATTTCAAGCGTAAGGCTCCTTCCACACAGCTGTACAAAATCTACATTGAACTGGATTGAATGGCAGTGTGGACTCAGATAATCCAGTTCAAAGCAGATATTGTGGATTATCTGCCTTGATATTCTTGGTTATATGGGTTATATGGAAGGACCCAAATACCCAGGTGACAAAAGAGACAAAATATAAAAATGAGTATTTCTGCTTTTAGTTTTTCAATTACAATATTGTGTTTTCATTGTGGTATAGCGAAACTGTGTGCCATATTGGAAACAAGTAAAAGATGGCCAAATGGTGTTGGAGCATAAACTCTTATTCTGGGTATTTCTTAAAGTATATTTCAGAACATGAAATATTATAATCAAAACTAAAACCTTTTGTTTATAATATTGCATAGTGTAAGATATGTTTGAAGAAATCACTCACGAGACCTAACTGCTTTCTGCATGGCCCAAGTTCCATATCTGCTTTCTTCCTTGCTTATATAATGACCTCTGATTTCTTAAAGCACCAGATCCCATATGAACTTGGAAGCTAAGCGCTGCCAACATTGGATGGACAAAGAACACCAGGTTTCATAGGCTGGATTACATTGGCAAAACCACCTCTGTGTAATCCTGGTTAAAGCAAACCTTATGACATAAGAACACAGGCAACTTGAAGGCACACACACACTTTTTAAAGGTAACGTAGCTTAATACATTGTTGCTCAAAGACATACAATACTTACAAATTCAAGGCTAATAAATCTGTCCAGGTTAGGCATAGGGTGGACATGAAATGCTGACAAAAACTCATTCAGCTCTGCAAACTGGTTGTGGAGATAAAAGGAGGAAATGAGTATCTGAATAGAAAAAAAGGATATCATGCAAGACAGTAAAAGAAAACTCAGTTGAGTTCTGGAGTTGACTCAGAATTCATTTCCTCACCTGCTTCTTGACAATATTATCTGCAATGTAGTTCAGGATTTTGTAGAAAACTTCAAACCAGGGTAAATAGCTACAAAAAAATCAACAGGGAATCCATTTAACAAGAATACATGTTTGGATGAGGAAGACTTTGCACCCAACTTCCCATTTTCAGATATGGGAAGACCCTTAACTGCCTGTCAAAGGCAACTGGTGGTCTGATGGAGCAACACTATTTCTGAACACAACACTGGTTGGTTGGTTGGTTGGTTGGTTGGTTGGTTGGTTGGTTGGTTGGTTGGTTGGATGGATGGATGGATGGATAGATAGATAGATAGATAGATAGATAGATAGATAGATAGATAGATAGATAGATAGACAGACAGACAGACAGACAGACAATGATAGATGGATGGATGGATGGATGGATGGATGGATGGATGGATAGATAGATAGATAGATAGATAGATAGATAGATAGATAGATGGTCTGATGGAGCAACACTGTTTCTGAACACAACACTGGTTGGTTGGTTGGTTGGTTGGTTGGTTGGTTGGTTGGTTGGTTGGTTGGTTGGTTGGGTGGATAGATAGATAGATAGATAGATAGATAGATGGATGATAGATGGATGGATAGATAGATGATAAATGGATGGATGGATGGATAGATAGATAGATAGATAGATAGATAGATAGATAGATAGACCTGTTTATTGATGAGTCCATATCAAAACTATAAGGCAAAAACAAACATACACAGACAAATGGACACTAATCACTATGCTAAAACTTCTGTAATAGTTAACTAAAATAAATTAAAACACGATAAAACTTGATTATACACACACACACACACAAATAAATAAACTTGATTAAATAATACATTTGGTAAAATGGGATTAAATTACAAAATAAAAGCAGGGGAAGTAGGGTGACATGTGTAAAAGAATCATAGAGTTGGAAGAGACCTCATGGGTCATCCAACTCCCTGCCAAAAAGCAGGAAAATTGTGTTCAAAGCACCTCCAACAGATAGCTATCCAGTCTCTGCTTGAAAGCCTCCAAAGAAGGAGCCTCCACCACACTCCGGGACAGAGAATCCACTGCTGAACAGCTCTCACTTCCTAACGTTCAGGTGGAATCTCTTTTCCTGTAGTTTGAAGCCATTGCTCCGCATCTTAGTCTCCAGGGCAGCAGAAAACAAGATTGCTCCCTCCTTCCTATGACTTCCCCTCACATATTTATACATGACTCTCATCACGTTTCCTCTCAGCCTTCTCTTCTTCAGGCTAAACATGCCCAGCTCTTTAAGCCACTCCTCATAGGGCTTGTTCTCCAGACCCTTGATCTTTTTTAGTCGTCCTACTCTGGACACATTTCAGTTTGTTAACATGTTAAATCCCACTTGAGAATGAAGGCAACATAAGAGTGTACTGTCATACCTGAGGATACACAGGCAGGTATGGAATCCTATGGACAACCGGCAGAAACCAAAACGCTGCTTCCCTTCCATATCGGTGAGTGCAAAAGTAAAGTGCTGGACAGTGGGGCTCTCCTGAACCCTTAAGAGGAAATGGGGCAACAGTGAGAAAGAAGTGAAAGGCAAGAGAAAGAATATAATAAATAATCTAAAATAAAGAGACATTCATTCATTATGTTCTATGTAATTGGTTGCTGGATATCCTTTTCGGAGCAACTTCCCTCTTTGTCAGATGTACAAAGCTGGCACTTCTGCAAATGAATACAGAAGGGCCTATATATAGAAGCATAACTATCTTGAAGGCATCAGATCCCACCTTAGAAGCCAAGCATCAGATTTTAGAAGTTAAGCAGGCTCAGCTCTGGTTATTATGAGGGTTGAATGAAAAGTACTGCATTGACCTGGATGGGAATATTTTAATAAATCAAGAAATAATCCTTAGAATGTGCTCTTTAACTACCTCTATTCACTTTTCCACATAATCACCAGACAACTGGATACATTTCTGCCAATGATGAACAAGTTTTCTGAAACCGTTACGGAAGAAGTCGACACTTTGTTTCCCCAATCCATTGTTCACAGATCTTCCGATAGCCAAGCAAAGCAATAATGTGACCCAGACGTTCTTGTGAAATGCTGATTATGTCTGAAATTTCTCTCTGAGTGATACGACGATCACCCTGAATCAATCTGTCAACTTTTTGCTTGTGAAACTCGGGGTTGCTGTCACAGGACGTCCAACTCTTTGTTTGTCATGCAAGTCAGATGCTCCCACCTCAACATCTTTAAACTTACTTGCCCAACGATGCACAGTACTCACATCAACACAATCACCATAAACAGCTTGCATTCTCTGATTAATCTCCTTTGGGGTGACACCTTCTGCTGTCAGGAATTGAATGACTTCACGTTGCTTAAGTCGCATTGACTGACCATTTACATAGGGTTTGATACATTGAACTTTAACAACACAACACCAAAATGGAACTGTAGAGGAGAGTCTACTGAACAAGCCAGTACCTGCCGCATACCAGTACTGCCATCTGTTGAGGAGTTACTAAGGTGGAGGCATTACTTTTCATTCAACCCTCGCACTTAGATGGAAGACTGCCAATGAATAACAGGTGCTGTGGGCTACATTTCAGAGGAAGAAACTGGCAAAACCACCTCTGAGTATTCCTTGCCTGAGAAAATCTTATGAAGTCCATGGGGTTGCCATAAGTCAACAGGTGAGTCAAAAGCACAGAGAGGGCTTAAGAAAGAGAAAATTAAATGTGCTCCATATTTTACAGATTACATATTAGTCTGGTGTTTTAAAACTTCTTTAATAGTATAATTGTATTCATTTCTGTTTCAATATGTATGATGGCTTTTTTATTGGAATGTTTTAAGTTATGTTGCACACTGCTTTGTATCTCACCCTGAGAGAACAATAGGAGAAAAATCGAATAAACAATTAAATGAGATGAGGAGGGAGGCACACATGTCACGGGAGTACAACATTATTTAGGTCAGCTGTTCTATACTGAAATAGGTTCCAATTAAAAGGCCATCATACATATCATACATATCGAAACAGAAATTAATCCAATTATACTTTGAAAGCATTTTGTGTTCTTTAAAGGAGGATAGGCAGGGTTCAGCCTTACAGAATTTGGTTTTTGTACAAGCCCAACATACACTAAGTAGAGTCTATTTTCTTCCCAATTTTCTATTGGTTTCAAAATATTTGGGAAGACCTTGTATATGGACAGCAACCTTCTGCTTTTGTCTGTTCCTGTTTTACATCAGTGTGACTCACATTTTGATGGTGGTGAAATACTGGTTTCTGAATTGAAAATTGTAAATAAACTTCCCTCTTACATCCACAAATGTTTACTTTTTTGCATCTTTAAGTCTAAGACAAATTATCTCACCTCTAAGGGCCTTTCCCCACAGCCATATAACCCAGAATATCAAGTCAGATAATCCACAATATATGTTTTGAACTGGATTATATGAGTCCACATGAAGCCGAGCATGACCCCCCCCCCCCAACAAGGGATGGTGACTTATAGTTCTGCAAAGGACAAAGGTACCAGACTGCACAATAGGGGTTAAGTCTTGGTCAATTTGTCAAGGCCTTAACAAACAATGAGGACCCCATGAAACTTTGGGAATGGCTAGACCTTGGGGTCTCTGCCTCTCTCTCTCGAGAGAGAGCTGTAGTTTTCCAAGGACCATGGGACCGGCTTCCATCCCAGCGCTGCAGGGCTTTGCGTCTTGGCCCAGTGGAACTCCATAGACTCCCGTTGGTGGCTTTTTGAATTCTGCTACATTCCTGGACTTCACTCTCTTCAAGGACTTGCTCTCTACCCATGAACTTTCTTCAAGACAACTTATGAATTCATGCTGTGTCCTGATATCATCTGCTTTTTATAATTGGTATTATTAATCTCTCTCTGGGGTCCTGGATGGGAAGATAGCTGCATATGATTTCCCTGTGTATAATTTCTATATGGTTTTTATGCTTCCTTGTATTCCTGACCATTTGCCCCTTCTCCCTCCAAAGAAATATGTAAGGGAACCCCCTGGCCTTCAGAAACAAAAGACTGAAACCTCCCGCCAAAGACACCTTTGCATGGATAAAAGAAGGAGATTCTTATCTCTAGCCTCGGAAGATGGCCCACTAGAGTAAAGCATTGTTTGACAAAAGTTTCTGTAAGATAAGGGGAAACCTCCCCCTCTGCTTTTGTTTACTTAGCATTAACCTCAGGCTGCCATCATTGTTCCCCTGTCTCACAGCCAGGAAGGATCAGGACACATGTTGACCCTTTGTCTCACAAGAGCACATGGCATTCCTTTGTTTAAGGACCCCTTTCCCAGATTCCTTTGTGCTCCCTCATCCCGCCTCCATCTCTCCTGATTGGCTGTCGCCACCAGGTGGCAGAGGTCTCCCCATTGGTTCCTACGGACCACTGGAGCCCATCGCCCAATCATGGCAGGGAACAACAGGGAAGCCGGGGCGGGGAGTTTGAACTCTACAACTTTGAATTTGCTATAAATATGACTGTATTGGTGTATTCCCCTCATGCTTAGCTTGGCGAATGACTGCAGCTTTGCATCCGGTTTCAGCTGAATCGCATTAAACTTCGATGGCCTTTCTTCAACTGGTGAGACTTTTCATTGGGAAATCAGGGAAAAATATGGGATGCTTCTCTGTCTCGCCAGGGAAAAAAGAACTCTTTGAGGAGTCTAATTGGTCTCTGCCTCCTGGCAAAGACCCCTAAATTTTAGCTCTATAACACACACTGCCATATATTCCAGTTCAATGTGGTTTTTATACAGTTGTGTGGAAAGGGCCTAAGAGGCCAGAGAACTTTTGAACCATCATCATAATGCAAAATCTTAACAGTATCCAAAAATGTTTGTGTCTGATGATTATAATGACAAGTGAAGCTTTTTAAATCAGAAAGACCCATCTCAGAGGTTTCATATCACCTCAAACACAAGACATAGTATTGAAGGTAGTTTGCATTCCAGCCTTGGAATACTAAATGGCACATAATGAGAAGAAGAGATTTTAAAAATGCATCTGTATATATGAATAATAATAATAATAATAATAATAATAATAATAATAATAAACACAAGATATAGTCTACAGCACACTCTCTGCTGGCTGTTGTATTGGATCACACGTCGGACACTTCCCAAGTGTCTCGGACTATGTGATGTATCGGCGAATAATGCGTGCAGATCCCAGTAAGGTGGCCTTTTGCAGCTGGCAGATGGTAATTTTGTCAGTGCCAATTGTGTTTAAGTGCAGGCCAAAGTCTTTAGGCACTGCACCCAGTGTGCCAATCACCACTGGGACTACCTTTACTTGTTTGTGCCAGCCTTTGCAGTTCGATCTTTAAATCCTCATATCGTGTAAGCTTTTCCTGTAGTTGTTGTTGTTGTTGTTGTTGTTTTTCCAGTTTCTCTGCAATCCTGCTGTCACCTGCGATTGTGACATTGACAATCCATACTTTGTTTTGTTTTTTTAACACAATTGTGAGGGCAGGAGTATTATGCTCCAAAACTCTGTCTGTCTGTCTGAATTATTATTATTATTATTATTATTATTATTATTATTATTATTATTATTAGCTTGTTACACAGGGGAGAATCTCATTCTCCAATATTCTTCCTAGCAGTTACAAAATGGATGTGACAGTGGTACCACATTATCTGTTTTGAACTGGGATATATGGCAGTGTGGACTCAGATATTCCTGTTCAAAGCAGATATTGTGTGTTATTCTGCCTTGATATTCTGGGATTTATGGCTATGTGGAAGGACCCAGAGTGACCAACTAACCAAAAAGAAAGAAAAGAAATCATGCTGGTTATTACTTTGACTGGAAGATATTGGTAAGCAAGCAAAGTTTTACATGACATGCAGTCCTGTTCTTCAAATCTTTGCTCAGGCACAGAAGCAGAAGGTGTTTGAAAAGCTGGCAAATGTAAACTGAAGCGGAGAAATGAAAAATATATCACATAAATAATTCTTGCAAGGTTTGATATACCTTTCAGTGTCAAAAGGGAAGCAAAACCTGGGCAGCATCTGGATCGATTCCTATAGGAAAAACAAAGGGATCCTTATTATTACTGGACATTAGCCTGAACACAAGGTCCTCCATCTATATAAATAAAATGTAATGTTCGTTTGTGGGATTAACAAAACTCAAAAACCACTGGACAAATTGGCACCAAATTTGGACACAAGACACCTAACAACCCAATGTATGTCCTTCACTCAAAAATATTGATTTTGTCATTTGGGAGTTGTAGCTGCTGGGATTTATAGTTCACCTATAATCAAAGAGCATTCTGAACCCCACCAACGATGGAATTGAACCAAACTTGGCACACAGAACTCCCATGACCAACAGAAAATACTGGAAGGGTCTGGTGGGCAGTGTCCTTTGGTTTTGGAGTTGTAGTTCACCTACATCCAGAGATCACTGTGGACTCAAACAATGATGAATCTGGACCAAACTCTACACGAATACTCAATATGTCCAAATGTGAACACTGGTAGAGTTTGGTGAAAATATAATCTTGACATTTAGGAGTTGTAATTGCTGGGGTTTATAGTTCACCTACAATCACAGAGCATTCTGAACCCCACCAACGATAGAATTGTGCCAAACCTCCCACACAGAACCCCCATGTGGGCCACAGCAACGCCTGGCAGGGGACGGCTAGTATAAGCATCTAAAAATGACTTCAGCTCAAACAAAACAGCAAGCAAAGCATAACAGGCATTCTCCATGTAATCTGATGAGTATCTGTTCAGAGATTAGTCTTATTCAATTCAGGGGGCCTTATTTCTAGTTCTGTCGGTTGGAATTATCCAGTCTTCAAGTGAAGATTTATTTATTTTATTTATTTCATCTACTTATACCCCGCCCTTCTCACCCCGGGGGGGACTCAGGGCGGCTTACAAAGGAGGCACAATTAGATGCCCAAATCACACAACAAACAATACAAAATATAACAGTTCAACAATTAAAATGAAACATCAATACCTATTAAAATCATAAAAACTATCTCATGTCAGAGTCCATATATCAGAGTCCATATATCCATTCCTTTAATCAGTTGTCAGCATGGCCAAAAGCTTGGTCCCACATCCAGGTCTTTAGTTTTTTCCTAAACGCTAGAAGGGAAGTCGTCGATCTGATCTCCCCGGGGAGTGAGTTCCACAGGTGGGGGGCCACCACTGAGAAGGCCCTGCTCCTCGTCCCCGCCAGTCTCACTTGTGCCACTGGCGGGGTCGAGAGCAGGGCCTCCCCAGAAGATCTTAAACTTCGAGGTGGGATGTAGAGGGAGATCCGTTCAGACAGATACACTGGGCCGGAACCGTATAGGGTTTTGTAGGTCAAAACCAGCACTTTGAATTGTGCTCGGAATTGGATCGGCAGCCAGTGGAGCTGACGCAACAGGGGGGTGGTGTGCTCCCTGTACGCCGCTCCGGTGAGCAATCTGGCTGCTTCTCGCTGGACTAGTTGAAGTTTCCGAGCAGTCTTCAAAGGCAACCCCACGTAGAGTGCGTTGCAGTAATCCAACCGGGATGTGACAAGAGCGTGGACCACCGTGGCCAGATCCGACTTCCCAAGGTACGGGCGCAGCTGGCGCACAAGTTTTAATTGTGCGAAAGCTCTCCCGGCCACCGCTGAGACCTGGGGCTCCAGGCTCAGCGATGAGTCCAGGATCACTCCCAAGCTGCGAACCTGTGTCTTCAGGGGGAGTGTAACCCCGTCTAACACAGGCTGTAACCCTATACCCTGTTCGGCCTTCCGACTGACCAGTAGGACCTCTGTCTTGTCTGGATTCAATTTCAATTTGTTAGCTCTCATCCAGTCCGATACAGCAGCTAAACACCGGTTCAAGGTCTGGACAGCCTCCTTGGTGACAGGTGAGAAGGAGTGACAGATTTGGACGTCATCTGCATAGAGATAGCATCTTAGTCCGAAACTCCGAATGATCTCTCCCAGTGGCTTCATGTAGATGTTAAATAACATCGGGGACAAGATAGAACCCTGTGGGACTCCACACAACAACGGTTGTGGGGCCGAACAGGTGTCACCCAGTAACACCTTCTGGGTCCGTCCCTCAAGGAAGGATCGAAGCCACCGCAGAGCAGTGCCTCCGAGCCCCATATCCATGAGGCGGCCCAGAAGGATACCGTGATCGACGGTATCGAAGGCCGCTGAGAGGTCCAGCAGAACTAACAGGGACACACTCCCCCTGTCTAGCTCCCTGCGTAGATCATCTACCAAGGCGACCAAGGCTGTCTCAGTTCCATGTCCCGGCCTAAAGCCAGACTGTGCCGGGTCTAGATAATCAGTGTCTACCAGAAACCCCTGGAGTTGTGTTGCCACCACACGTTCCATGACCTTGCCCAAAGGGGAGATTGGAAACAGGCCGATAGTTGTCGAATTGAGTGGGATCCAGTGATGGTTTCTTCAACAGCGGTTTTATAATAGCTTGTTTTAAGCTCGCTGGAAATTTTCCTTCCTGTAAGGAGGCATTAACCATCACCTTCACCCACTCTGCCAAACCCCCTCTGGCTTCCTTGATCAGCCAGGAAGGGCAGGGGTCTAGGATGCATGTGGTGGGTCGCACCTCTCCAAGGATCCTGTCCACATCCTCAAGCTGAACCAATTGAAACGAATCCAACAAAACTGGACAAGCAGATGCTCTCGTTACATCCCCAGAGACTGCCGTTAACATGACGTCAAAACCCGACCGAATCCGCTCAATTTTATCCACGAAGGATCGAGCAAATGCTTCACAGCGAGCCACCGAGTTGTCCGAGGCCTCGCTTTTTGGCGGATTTAACAGGCCCCTGACAACTCGGAAAAGCTCCGCTGGACGATTCTTCGCTGATGCAATATTGGCTGTGATGAATGTTTTCTGAGCTGCCGCTATTGCCACACCGTAGGACCTTAAAAAGGCATTCAGGTGTGTTTGGGCTGGATTGGTGGGATTCTGGCGCCACACGCACTCTAACCTCCTCTTCTTTCGCTTCATCGCTGCCAGCTCCTCAGTGAACCAAGAGGCTGGTTTAGCTCGGTTACTCGAGAGGGGGCGTTCCGGAGCGATAATGTCGATTGCCCTGGTCAGCTCACTATTCCAGCCAGAGTCCAGAGCATCGACAGTGTCGCTAGCCAAGGAGGTGGAAAGATCCCCAAGAGCCGTCAGGAGTCCATTTGGATCCATAAGTCTCCTGGGGCGGACCATTCTAATGGGTCCACCACCCCTGCGGAGGTTAGGAGGCCCAGTTAGTCTAAAACTGATTTGCACATTTAGACTCCTCCATGAAACTGATGGGGAAAGTTAGCCAAGACTGAAGTCCTACAGATATTAATTATCCGCACTAAGTGCAATTAATGTAGTTGGAATCCATCTCATTATGTGCAGGTCTGCAATGTTAGCTTGCTTTGCTAAGGATGCTACTGCACGAAGCTGCTATCCCACGGCATTCACACAACCAACAATCCTGGGTACTTATCGAGATGAGCATTTTCATTCCTGCATGTCAGGGGTCCTCAAACACTTTAAACATAGGGCCAGGTCACAGTCTCTCAAACTGTTGGAGGGCCCGACTATAATTTGATTTAAAAAAATGAATGAATTTCTATGAACACTGCACATATCTTATTTGTAGTGCAAAAAAACCCCTACTTAAAAACAATACAATAATTAAAATGAAGAACAGTTTTAACAAATATAACCTTATTAGTATTTCAATGGGAAGTGTGGGCCTGCTTTTGGCTGATGAGATAAGATTGTTGTTGTTGTGTGCTTTCAAGTCGTTTCATACTTAGGTTGACCCTGAGCAAGGGCCAGGTAAATGTCCTTGGAGGGCCATACCCAGCCCCCAGGCCTTAGTTTGAAGAATCCTGGTCTATGTAATAGCACAATTCTGCTGCTTTGCTGCTCTGCAGCCTCAATTCCTGTTGGGGAGGAAAATCTACCTTTCAACAATTCTGTATCTCAAGTAAATGAAAAAAAATTTTTTAAAGGAAATTTGCATTTTTGCAGAGTTTAATAAATTATACAAATGTATATATTTATTTAAACCTAATTATTCCTGAGGGAGGGAATGAGGGAGAGGAGGACAACCCTGACTCCTGACATCAGAAACGTCCAGACTTTATTGCATAAGGTAAGTGCATAAAAACCATGGTGTAATTAGGGACTATTGACAGGTTTTCTATCAAACCATTGCAGTAAATGCTGCGTGAAACTGCCATAATTTTGCAGTGTGAATGGCCACTTGAAAGAGGATGACCCTGATTTGTGTTGTCCTCATGGACAACAAGTTAAACATGAGCCAATAATGTCATGTAGCGGCAAAAAAGCCAATGGGATTTTGGCTTGCATCAATAGGAGCATAGTGTCTAGATCTAGGGAAGTCATGCTACCCCTCTATTCCGCCTTGGTTAGACCACACCTGGAATATTGTATCCAGTTCTGGGTACCACAATTGAAGAGAGATATTGACAAGCTGGAATGTGTCCAGAGGAGGGCCACTAAAATGATCAAGGGTCTTGACAATAAGCCCTATGAGGAGTGGCTTAAAGAGCTGGGCATGTTTAGCCTGAAGAAGAGAAGGCTGAGAGGAGATATGATAGCCATGTATAAATATGTGAGAGGAAGCCACAGGGAGGAGGGAGCAAGCTTGTTTTCTGCTTCCCTGGAGACTAGGACGCGGAACAATGGCTTCAAACTACAAGAAGGGAGATTCCATCTGAACATGAGGAAGAACTTCCTGACTGTGAGAGCCGTTCAGCAGTGGAACTCTCTGCCCCGGATGTGGTGGAGGCTCCTTCTTTGGAAGCTTTTAAACAGAGGCTGGATGGCCATCTGTCAGGGGTGCTTTGAATGCAATTTCCTGCTTCTTGGCGGGTTGGAACTGGATGGCCCATGAGGTCTCTTCCTCTTATTCTATGATTCTATGACAAGAAGCTTTCACAATTGCGCCGGGGGGGGGGGGGTGGGACGAAGACACAGACCCACTTGTTCAAACTCTCATGTTTGAGATGCTGCACTTGCTATCATTCACATATTAATAAAATCACTCCCCCGCTTTCTGTTCCCTTCTGGATGGAGAGATGCTGTGCCTTTCCAGTTAGCTGCACTCTATAGTACAGAAGAAATGCAAATTAGCTCTATACCAGGAAGATGCTTTACATTATGGTTGATCTACTCTTGCGAGCAAGATAAAGCAGTTTGGGAAAACAAGCCATGTTGACCAGCAGTATACACCTCATTTGCAGAAAGCCTGTGGATCCTGCAGAATAATGACTAACTGTTGTATCTCTACATGACAGGTCGATTTTAGAGCCAAGAGAATAAGTAGCAACTTAAGCACACCCCTGCAGTGATTTTGGGATATAAGGGACTAAGAAGGGAAGTGAGCAACAACCTTGCAAAAAATGACAGACCTGGTCATCGAACTCCAGCGGGAACTGTCTGAGCACTTGGGGATCTGTATAGAGAAAGAGCAAAGTCAGCTGCTGGCATTCAGATATGTTGATTCCAACCCTTTTGTACCATAGGTCTTAACTAGGTGTTGTAGGATTTTCCCAATTACTGAGCATAACCTGCCTTGTTTGGAATTTGGCACTATTAGAAAGGGTTGTTGTAGGTTTTTCCGGGCTATATGGCCATGTTCTAGAGGCATTTTCTCCTGACGTTTCGCCTGCATCTATGGCAAGCATCCTCAGAGGTAGTGAGGTCTGTTGGAACTAGGAAAAAAGGGGTTTATAAATCTGTGGAATGACCAGGGTGAGACAAATATATAAACCCCCATCTATGGCAAGCATCCTCAGAGGTAGTGAGGTTATCCTCAGAGAGTGACCTCACTACTTCTGAGGATGCTTGCCATAGATGCAGGCGAAACGTCAGGAGAGAATGCCTCTAGACCATGGCCATATAGCCCGAAAAAACCTACAACAACCCAGTGATTCCGGCCATGAAAGCCTTTGACAATACTATTAGAAAGACTGATATGGCAAACGATACAAGCAAAAGAACAGAAAGACAATATATTTGAGGTAACAGGATGATGACGACTATGTTTATTATTATTATTATTATTATTATTAATAATAATAATAATAATAATAATAATAATAATAATAATAATAACTTTATTTATACCCTGCTCCATCTCCCCCAGGGGGACTCGGGGCAGCTTACATAAGGCCACATCCATCAGTACAATAACACAATATTACAAAAATATAACAAATCCAGAAAATAAAATACATAAAATGCAAAAACCAATATAATAGACGACACAGCAATATAAAATCAAACGTTAAAACACAAAGGAATTTCACCGGGCAGGGCTAATTCAAAAATGGAATTTAAAATTTTTAAAAACACTGGGAGATAGGGCAATGTAAAATTGTCAGGAAGGGGGATCCGGGGATGAGGAAGGATTTAATTGCACAATATTTATACCCCACCAGGCATGTAGCCGGAGGGGGGGGGGCTTGAGGGGCTTCAGCCCCCCCCCCCAAATTCTCATGGTGATTCGTGAAAAGGCCTTACTGGTGCATTATTTAAACTGTTATGTTTATTCATATCATGATCTGATCACCATACTCAATATATCCCATATGCATGGGGGTATTGGGGTAATGATGCAAAAGGTTTGCTAGGGTAGACCCTCTTTCACTCAGACTCAGCCCCCCCCCAAACTCAGCCCCCCGAAACCCCCTGAAAAAAATTCAGCCCCCCCCTCGAATCGAAATCCTGGCTACGGGCCTGTACCCCACTTTTCCTTTCCATAAGGAGACTCAAAGTGGCTTAGATTAAAAGCATTTCAAGACAATTTAAAATCTACAAATATACAAACATTAAAATAGAATTAAACATCATTGGTATTAAAAAAAATCAGTTAAGATCCATTAAAAACATATTCAAAATTTAAAACCAAAGCACTCTCTGATGTGATTTGCACAAAGCCTTTAAAAAATGAAAGAAAATGAAAGTAAACCAATATTTTAGCGCAGCCACACTTGATGAGATCAATGTTGCTTACACTGAACCATGAAGCCCATGACCTTGATTGCTTTTTGCAAAATGCAGTTTTCAATCTGAGCCACGAGTTAGCCATGCTTGAGCCTAATGGTCATTCTGAATATCTGCTCACAGGAGGACAATAATAACAGAAAGCATCTCCATTTTGAAAATATGCTACCGGGCAGCCACAGTCCTCTTGCACTTGTATTTCAGAGCAAGGCCTCCAAGTCAAGCACAGCTGCAGACATGCATAAGACCGCCCACCTCCAGTATTCAGAAACTAACCAAGCTGTGCGGAGGAAGAAGTAAGACTGATAAGAGATGATGAAAGACCTTCACTCTGTCTTGTTCTGTTTCCAGGCACTCCAGGGGTGCGGTTTGGTCTGCAAACCAGCTTCCTTTGGACAGCACCACTTATATATAGTGGATTTCCATTTCCTTTCTTTTTCTAAATTTTAACCACTACCTAAATGCTACCTCAAGACACTGGAACAAACCAAAGGAAGGAAGGAAGCTATTAGGAATGCTCAGAGCCTATGGAACTGGAAAAGTGGTAGGTGGATGGAGAGACTAAGGACCTCATCACACTAGAGCATGTATCCAATTTAAATCCAGTTTCTGCCTCCTGCAAAATGCAGGGGCTTGTGGTTTAGTGAGGGGCCTTTAAACAACTTAGCCAGGCAGGTCCTGGGTCTCACTAAACTACAAACACCAGAATTCTGCAGGAGGCAGAAACTGGATTTAAAGTGGATTCATGCTCTGGTGTGATGAAGCTGTAGCTCGTTGCCTTAAGCAAGCTTTGGACTCCTGTTGAATATTTATTTATTTATTTATTTACTGTATTTGTTACCACCTTTCTCAGCCAATCGGCAACTCAAGGTGGTTTCCAACAAATCAGTACGTATAAAAACATAATACAGATTAAAACATTAAATAATATAAAACTCCACAAAAGCAATAAAAACAGCATCATTAGCAACTCATTATTATTAAGCATTGTACAGTTCCATTGTCAAATCGTTCGATTTCCTATGTTAGCTACATTTGTAAACGCTTGCTCAAACAGCCATGTTTTAACTTGCCTCCGAAACGTTAAGAGGGAGGGAGCAGATCTAATCTCCCTAGGGAGGGTGTTCCATAGCTGAGGGGCCACCACTGAGAAGGCCCTGTCTCTCGTCCCCACCAAACTTACTTGAGACGAAGGCGGGACTGAGAGCAGCGCCTCCCCAGACGATCTTAGAGTCCTCGATGGTTCGTAAGGGGAGAAACGTTCAGACAGGTAAGTTGGGCCAGAACTGTTTAGGGCTTTATAGGCCAAAGCCAGCACTTTGAATTGGGCCCGGTAGCAAACCGGCAGCCAGTGGAGCTGGTGCAACAAAGGGGTTGTATGTTCCCTGAGTGTCACTCCTGTTAGTAACTTGGCTGCTGTTCGTTGGACTAGTTGAAGCTTCCGGACTGTCTTCAAAGGCAACCCCACGTAGAGAGCGTTGCAGTAGTCTATACGGGATGTAACCAGAGCGTGGACTACTGTGGCCAAGTCAGACTTCCCAAGGTACGGGCACAGCTGGTGCACAAGTTTTAACTGTGCAAATGCTCCCCTGGTCACTGCCGAAACCTGAGGTTCCAGGCTCAGCGATGAGTCCAGGATCACACCCAAGCTGCGAACCTTGCATACTGAAGCAGCCCTAACATTAGGCAGGGAAAGGTGAAAGATGCTGGGAAGCAGCAGTAACGGGTGATGGGACAGAGAGCTGTGTGCTAAGGACCTCATCACATGAAGTCGACTAATGCAGGCCAAGCAGGGGGATTTGTCAGCCAGTGTGGCAAATCTGTTGACGAGTGGGGGAATCAATTCCCCTGGGCCCCACATTGCCCACAGCAACGCCTTCCCTATTACTTGGGGGAGAATGTCACTACCTGGCTTCCCCCTGTGCTTCCCTCCTATTAGTCTACACTGCCCGGCTTCCCTCCTATTAGTCTACACATGGTAAGACTGATCATGTCCTTCACCACTACTTTACCCCCCAAGTATTTATGTCTGTTGCAGCCAGGACTCACCATCATCTCCACACACTGGACAGGCAGCCTCGAAGAAAAGATCAAATATTTTCTGTGGATTTTCCCTGAGGAGAAAAGATGAATCAATGGACCCAAAGTGGCTTAGACACTGGCAAAACACAAGCTTTTGGGAGCCACATTAATTGAAAGGCAGGAATGGCTCTGCTGTTGAGGTGTGGATCCTTTGGAAAGGCAGAGCCGGTTGTCCACATGGGATCCCTAATAGACCTCTTAGAATGCCAGCATTCAATGTCTACTTATATTTTTTTTGTATTGAAAAAGTGTGTTTCTTCTCTTTCAGTGACCATGTAGACCAGGGGTCCTCAAACTAAGGCCCGAAGGCCAGATACAGCCCTCCAAGGTCATTTACCCGGCTCTCACTCAGGGTCAACCTAAGTCTGAAATGACTTGAAAGCACACAACAACAACAACAATGATCTTCTTGCAGCAGCCGAGGAGCCCCTGGTGGCGCAGGGGGTTAAACCCCTGTGCCGGCAGGACTGAAGACCGACAGGTCGCAGGTTCGAATCCGGGGAGAGGCGGATGAGCTCCCTCTATCAGCTCCAGCTCCTCATGCGGGGACATGAGAGAAGCCTCCCACAAGGATGATAAAACATCAAATCATCTGGGCATCCCCTGGGCAACGTCCTTGCAGACGGCCAATTCTCTCACACCAGAAGCGACTTGCAGTTTCTCAGGTCGCTCCTGACACGACAAAAAAGTACATTTGAAGGCCAGTATCTTAAACAGTTTTTGTCTCTGTTTGTTAAAATTGTTCTTCATTTTAATTATTGTATTGTTTTTAATTGTTTTTTGCACTACAAATAAGATATGTGCAGTGTGCATAGGAATTCATTCATGTTTTTTCAAATTATAATCCGGCCCTCCAACAGTTTTAGGGACTGTGACCTGGCCCTCTGTTTAAAAAGTTTGAGGACCCTTGATGTAGAAAATGCTAATATCAGCTATCCCACCTCAACCCACTTTAGTTCAGGATGTGTGATCCAGTTGTGGGTCACCACAACACATAAAGTGAAAATGAATTCTGGTCCCCCTTGTGTGTCAGTTATCAATATATTTTTTGCCACACTTTAGGATGGCTAATCAGAAATGGCCCCACATGATGATGGTCAACAAAAAACTCAGTTCTATGTATTTTAGAATTCTTAGTATTGAAAATGGCAAGGCGGAGAATTGTTGGCCCTGAAGTGAACGTAAACTCACTTCAGCCACAGCCCACATAGTCAATGTTAAGATACTTGAATTCTGGTTTTTGAAACTTACACAGCCCCACAGTCGAAATCCAGAGTAAAGAACATATGAATTTCAATAGTTTTGGACTACACTTGTCAGGCCACCCCAACATAGGATGACTGTAGTTGTAATCCAACCACATATGAAAGTCAAGATGCTCCTTGTTCCCGGCTACATTTAAAATTACTACGGTATGGCTCTTACATCTGCAGGATCAGTATTCACAGTTTCATTCATTCATGTCCAAGAAAACATGACTTCTCTAGCATTGTCAAGGTCCTCCAGAGCACTGTTTCTTAAAGTGTGGTCCTGACCCCAAATAGGGTCCCCTTAGTTCAATGTTGGGGTCACAAAAATTGGCAATAAGGAAGGTTTCTGAATGCCATCTAGACAATTTCACAATTCTGATCATAACAACACGTTGTATTTACTCTGCGCTCTGCAGTAAATGTGTCAGCTGCACTCCACAAAAATAAAAAACCAGTCTGTTTAGCAAGCCTCCCAAATGCTGATTTATTTTCAGTGGTTTATATACCTTATTTATATACCTATATAAAGTAAAATAAAGGTTATCCCCTGACATTAAGTCCAGTCATGTCCAACTCTAGGGGTTGGTGCTCATCTCTTTTTTTTAAGCCAAAGAGCCAGCGTTGTCCATAGATACCTCCATGTGGCCGGTCATGTGGCCAGCATGACTGCATGGAGTGCCATTACCTATATACCTGAGGTTAAATATTTATTTATTTATTTATTTATTTGGAGTGCTTCTACCCCGCCCTTCTCAACCCCCTAGGGGGGACTCAGGGCGGCTTACAAAAGGCACAATTCGATGCCTAACAATTCACAAAATACAATACAATATACAATGCAATACACAAATTTACCATATAATATCAACAATTATAACTAATTAAAACAGTCAAACAATATACTAGCAGCAATAAAATCATCTTGTGGTCAATGTTCGCCAATTCATAGTCCGTAATCCATCTAGCATTGTCATTATCCTTTCCTACTCTGGTCGTCATTGGTTGTCTTTGTCCATCTGCCAGCTTACCCGAAGGCCTGGTCCCACATCCAGGTTTTTAGCTTCCTTCTGAAAGCAAGGAGGGATGTTGCTGTCCTAATCTCCCCCGGGAGTGCATTCCACAGACGAGGGGCCACCACCGAAAAGGCCCTGTCCCTCGTCCCCACCAGTCTCGCTTGTGATAAAGGTGGGGCCGAGAGCAGGGCCTCCCCCGCCGATCTTAAACTCCGAGGTGGGAGGTAGAAGGAGATACGTTCGGACAGGTACACTGGGCCGGAGCCGTAAAGGGAAATACAAATTTCCCGGACTGAATGGGGTCATGTGCAGAAAAGTTTAAGAAGTTTAAAAAGTTTAAGAAGCCTTGCTTCAGCTGACCTTCTTGGGCTGGAAGTCCTACATTTCAGAGGTTCATTATTATCTGTGGTTTCACATATCTATAGATACAGGGTTCATCTTGTACTTTAATTTCTCCCACATTAGTTACTGCTTGCCAAGATACTCTTATAAGAAAAAGCAAAGGTTAGTAGCCTCTTGGGTTTTCCAAGGACTACTTGGCCCGACTCAGCAATTGCTTATCTAGGCAGTCACTACTCAGCACTCAGGTTGGAGATCTGTTCAGTATAAGTAAGATCGAAAGAAACATCTTGCAGCATGTTAAGTAGTAGGGGTTGAAGCTTTGCTCAACCCCAACTCTCAAATCACAAGGAGTGCCATTTTCCATCTGACCTATGGATTTGATCTAGTTTTTCAGCTGAAGCCAGGTGAAGGCAAGAAAGCAATTTTGACAGGTTGACCCACAGAACCCAGCCCAAGGCCTTACTTGATCCGGGATCCCATTGCCCTTAATCCGTTCTGTCACATGGTCATCCAATAGAAGCACCAAAGCAGAAATCTTTCCTCCCATCCAGACGAGAAGCCCAGACTGAAGCCCTGAAGACTAACAAGTCTCTGCAGAGCTCACTTTGGCATATTTCAAAAGCAGCATTTCCTTTTGTGGCTTTTTGTGAGAGGAAGTACGAGGCCTGTGACTCCCTTAGCGCACTGCAGAGTGGAAGCTTTCAGGACTTGGGGGAGGGGAGGGCTGTTGTTGGTTTAGTCACTTTCTGATATTTAGCTGTACCCCTTATCTGCTTTCCTGAACATTCAAGTTAAGGTAATAGCAGATTAGAGGAATGAAGCAAAATTTGGGTAAAAACCCTACCCTCTCTCAAACCTACCGTGCAATTGGTCCTCCATATTCACAGATTCTTCCTACATGGATTTAGTCATCCATGGCTCAAAAAAAATCCTCCCTCTGATATTGAGAAATCAGACCCCAAATTATGAAATGTATAAAAAATATTAAACATTAACAACCTCAGATATGCAGATGACACCACTCTGATGGCCGAAAACGAGGAGCTGAGGAGCCTTCTAATCAAGGTGAAAGAAGAAAGCGCAAAAGCCGGGTTGCAGCTAAACATAAAAAAAACCAAGATTATGTCAACAAGAATGATTGACAACTGGAAAATAGAGGGAGAAAATGTGGAGGCCGTGACAGACTTTGTATTTCTAGGTGCAAAGATTACTGCAGATGCAGACTGTGGCCAGGAAATCAGAAGACGCTTACTTCTTGGGAGGAGAGCAATGTCCAATCTCGATAAAATAGTAAAGAGCAGAGACATCACACTGGCAACAAAGATCCGCATAGTCAAAGCCATGGTATTCCCTGTAGTAACCTACGGATGTGAGAGCTGGACCTTAGGGAAGGCTGAGCGAAGGAAGATAGATGCTTTTGAACTGTGGTGTTGGAGGAAAGTTCTGAGAGTGCCTTGGACTGCGAGAAGATCCAACCAGTCCATCCTCCAGGAAATAAAGCCTGACTGCTCATTGGAGGGAAGGATACTAGAGACAAAGTTGAAGTACTTTGGCCACATCATGAGGAGACAGCAAAGCCTAGAGAAGACAATTATGCTGGGGAAAGTTGAAGGTAAAAGGAAGAGGGGCCGACCAAGGGCAAGATGGATGGATGGCATCCTTGAAGTGACTGGACTGACCTTGAAGGGGCTGGGGGTGGTGACGGCCGACAGGGAGCTCTGGCGTGGGCTGGTCCATGAGGTCACGAAGAGTCGGAGACGACTGAACGAATGAACAACAACAATAAAAAATATGGATTATGAGACACAGCTCCATTGGGACTCATAGTAAACATGCGTGCCCTTACCTTAAAGCCAATCAGAGTGCTTGTCCTAGCTGGACAGTTTCTGGGCCAATCAGCTGTCAAACAAAATAAAAATGCTCTGTATTTGCAACTGTGGTATGTCAGTCCTTTGGAGTGCTTTCTTTCACTGACATCCTCTTTGATCACTGAGAATAACCTCTGCTTTTGCCTTCAATTTGTCTGTGTCTCATTTGGCCTTCTGGAAAGCATGGCACTCAGGGCCTCCAAAACCGCGATTTTAGCAGAGCTGAAATAACATCCCCAAAATCCCACAATGAAATTAGTAGTGAATCGGTGTACTTGTGTGGATCCAGAGACATGTGATAGCAAGGATGCTATCACTTTATTACATAAGAGAATATTGAAGGCTTACTTTATTTAGCTGTGCTAATCTGTTGCAGCAAATACTTAAACTTTTGTGGATTGCATCCTACTTCCATCAGATGCATCATCAGATGATTCACTTGCCAGATACTTATATACTTTACTAAGTGAGAAGACAATATGTGGAAATAGACATGAAAAAGTCTGAATATTGATGATCTCCATACATTTTTTAAAAATAGCAAGAAATTGAAAGGTGATATGGACATCTCAGTATAGGTTGAGTATCCCTGATCCAAACCATCCTATCACCCTATACATTTGATTTTTTCTGCTTTTGATTCTTGTTTTTTACTTCTCTCTCTCCCATCTCTTTCTCTCTCTGATCCTTTGCTTTTTCTACTTCTCCCCTGCCACAATTATTGGTTGATAATGTTGTTGATGAGGCCCCCAGTGGCGCAGTGGGCTAAACCACTGAGCTGCTAAACTTGTTGACTGAAAGGTCGCAGGTTCGAATCCGGGGAGCTGGGTGAGCTCCCGCTGTCAGCCCCAGCTTCTGCCAACCTAGAAGTTTGAAAACATGCAAAATGTGAGTAGATTAATAGGTACCGCTCTGGTGGGAAGGTAATGGCGCTCCATGCAGTTGTTATAGAGCTAAAATTTAGGGGTCTTTGCCAGGAAGCAGAAACCAATTAGACTCATCAAAGAGTTATTTTTTTCTTTGGCGAGACAGAGAAGCATTCCATATTTTTCCCTGATTTCCCAATAAAAGTCTCACCAGTTGAAGAAGAACCATCGAAGTTTAATGCGATTCAGCTGAAACCGGATGCAAAGCTGCAATCATTCGCCAAGCTAAGCATGAGGGGAATACACCAATACAGTCATATTCATAGCAAATTCAAAGTTGTAAGATTTCAAACTCCCCGCCCCGGCTTCCCTGTTGTTCCCTGCCATGATTGGACGATGGGCTCCAGTGGTCCGTAGGAACCAATGGGGAGACCTCTGCCATCTGGTGGCGACAGCCAATCAGGAGAAATGGAGGCGGGATGAGGGAGCACAAAGGAATCTGGGAAAGGGGTCCTTAAACAAAGGAATGCCATGTGCTCTTGTGAGACAAAGGGTCAACATGTGTCCTGATCCTTCCTGGCTGTGAGACAGGGGAACAATGATGGCAGCCTGAAATTATACACAGGGAAATCATATGCAGCTATCTTCCCATCCGGGACCCCAGAGAGAGATTAATAATACCAATTATAAAAAGCAGACGATAACAGGACACAGCATGAATTCATAAGTTGTCTTGAAGAAAGTTCATGGGTAGAGAACGAGTCCTTGAAGAGAGTGATGTCCAGGAATGTAGCAGAATTCAAAAAGCCAGACAAAGGAAGTCTATGGAGTTCCACTGGGTCAAGATGCAAAGCCCTGCAGCGCTGGGATGGAAGCTAGTCCCATGGTCCTTGGAAAACTACAGCTCTCTCTCTCTCTCTCTCTCTCTCTCGGGAGAGAGAGGCAGAGACCCCAAGGTCTAGCCATTCCCAAAGTTTCATGGGGTCCTCATTGTTTGTTAAGGCCTTGACAAATTGACCAAGACTTAACCCCTATTGTGCAGTCTGGTACCTTTGTCCTTTGCAGAACTATAAGTCACCATCCCTTGTTAGGGGGGGGGAGTCATGCTCGGCTTCACAGTCATACTGGCTCCATGACCTTGGAGGTGTCTATGGACAATGCCAGCTCTTTGGCTTAGAAATGAAGATGAGCACTAACTCCCAGGGTCCGGGAGTAAGTCCAGTTGTGGAGATTAAGTCCACAACTGGACTTAATGTCAGGGGAAAACCTTTACTTTTACTAATGTGTTGATAAATGGAGCGGCCCTGGATTATATTTTGGATGATATGATTTTAATTGATGTTTTTAATAAGTTAGGTTTGTTTGGTTTTAATTCTTATTGTGTATCAATACATGTATGCCTGGCATAAAAATTGCTGCCAGTTGTAAGGCTAGCTTGAGTTCCACTGGGTTGAGAAAGGTGGGATTCTGGGATTTTATTAAGCTGAGTGAAAGGGGGCATAGTCTAAAAAAAATTAAGAGTGTATCAAAATTTAAAAGTTTCAAATTGCATTATATGGCAGTGTAGTTTGGGCCAAAGAGGAAGGATGAGAGGATGAGAGAGGGAAAAAAAATATGAAAATGGTGAGTGGCTTGGAAAAGTACTCTTACAAGGAAAATAAAGGTGGGAGAGAGAAACAGAGAAACTTAGAAGGAGGGAGAAGTCAAATTTGGCCAGGAGAAGTAGAAAATGAAGGGTAACTTGAAAAATAATTGGAATTACCATAAGGAAATGTATCTGAGTAGGCTCTGCATTTCTTCACAATCTTGAACTGTGTGTATATTTTGCCGTGCATATACTTCTCTTCATTGTAATGCTGGGGAATGGGGCATGTGCGTGTTGATTATTGGAGAAGCAGAAGGCTTTGGAACAGCTTTAAGCTGTGGCATTTTATGGGTAAGACTTAATACATGTGCTCCAAAGGGGATTTCAGGTCATGGGAAGCAGTGACAGGATGTTAGGGCAAAATCTCAAGCTGGCTGTTAAGCAACTGCTCAGCAGCTCAGCTTTGGACATGCGGTATTGGTAGTGAAATCATTATATCATAGACAAGGAAAAAAACAGAGATAAATGTATTAAAGATAATAGAATTATAAACATGTTACTAAATACTGTCTCTCTGCTTCTTGTCTTTCACATATTTCTCAAAAGATGACCAGTCTGTCCCTTTTATTAGACTTTTAATATCATGCTTTTAATATCATGATCCATTCAATTGTATTTTAACAATCTAACTTTATAATTTTAGTTATATCCCCTCATTTTGCAAGCTGCCTTGTGCCCCCCACTTTGGGAGGAAACAAACGTAGTTCCAGAGTCTAGGACCAGCCCCACAGTCTAGAACTCAGTGTGTGACACAGAGCAGTAATGATCAGGGAACCCACTATATCAACATGACAAACAGCTCTTGAATGCTAACAAATGGGCACAATTTTTCATGAATTATATAATACCGTGGATTAGAGGCCGCTCTGTGAAATGCATGGAAGTTATCCTCAGATGGCAGGAGTGCACGGGTACACACACACAGCTGGTAATAATGGGCAGCATTTCTCAGAAGTGAGGTCAAAGGGACATGAAATACACCTCCCCCCCCAAACCAGACATTAACAATTAGAGCATGAGCATTTGCAAAAGTAGCACAATGACCCTTCATGATACCAGTGTTGGATGTTGACATAATTTGCAATGGAAAATTAATGAGAGCCAATGTGATTAATTTGTTTGAGAATGAGACTATGGCCCCTTCTACACTGTAATATAATCCAGATTATCAAAGCAGATATAATCTGATTTGAACTGGATTATATGAGT